GAACTCATGTATAAAGTTCATGTTATGCACATGCAAGTGAATGACAAGTAGGATAAAAAAATAAATAAATGAAAACTTATGAAGAAAATTTCTTAAATTTATTAAGTAGGCTTGGATAATAAGAAATCATTTACTGGTTTGACTTTCTTTATTCCCTGTGGAGTCGTCAAACTATCATAACGTATAGATCTGTGCTAGACATACACTTAGAAATCGCTATCAATCTTTTTTGTTTAGGTGCAATAGGCCACAATTGAATCTGTCCAATTTAAAGAGAAGTCTCAAGTTTAACTTAGATATTTTTAAATAGTAGATTGTAGTGTATGAAATCAAATTTTAATCCCAAAGTAAAACACGTGATGTATACCAAAGGTGGAAGAAGATTTTTTCATTTATTACTTCTATTCCTCCATCACTTCAAGCTTTAATGCCGCTACTTCAGTTTCATATTTCTTAAATGGAGTTCTCACCTAACAGACTAACTCTCTCTTAATTCTCTTTCTAGTCTTGGTTCTCTGTCAAAACTGCCAATGACTCTTTCTTATCTTTGTTGTTATATTGAGCTCCTCTTTGGATTGTTTGCATTTCACCACTTTGACAAAATCAATATCCTAAGCCTTGAGTTTATCGTTGATGCTCTTGTCCGTTCTGGTGGAGGTGGCATCAACGTGCTTCTTACAATACTCAAAAACCTTATATAAGATCTTCTGGTGATGTTGGGGAGAGGGATTTTGTTCTCGGCATGCCTGAGTCTTGATAGTTCAAGGGTTTAGACAAAATGAGGCACGTGATGGTGATTTCGGGATTGGATTGTGAGGATGGAAGGATGGTATTGGGTTTGACCATAGAGGCTTGGAGAGGGCTCGGCTAGCTAGTGGGCACTTGGGATTTTTTTTTGAATAATTTCCCCTTTGTAAATTAAGGGTCTTTAAATAGGGATTCAATCCCTTTCAATTTGGGAAAAAAAATTATTTCCACCGAATCTGTGATTCTTCTATGATTTTGTAATCTTTTATTTTTGCATGAAAATTGGGATCCAAGTATTTCCATAATCGATTCAACTACAAAATCAAATCTTTGATTCTCAGAATTGAGATCTTCAACCATTAAACCACAAAATTGGATTTTTGATTCCAAGAATTAAGATCTTCAAATTCCCACTTTTTTTTTTTGACATTTCTTTCTTTCTTTCTTTTCTTTTTTTTTTCTTCTACTTTTTCTTTGACCAAAAAAAAAAATTAAACCAAAAAACAAAAATTAAATTAAAATTAAAATCCAAAAAATTTGTTTGGGCTTTTAATCATTGGGTCCAAAATTTTGCATTAAGACCCAATTTTTTATCGAAAGCCTGTTTTATTTCTGATAAATTCTCGGATAAAATGGGTGTTTACAGCAATTACAATTTTTTCAGCATGGTTTGCACATTGTTTGGTATCTTCCTGAAGAAGCTCCATCAATGCTATGTTTCTTTGAAGCCTTTCCATGATTGGTCCTGCTGTAGACCTTTATTATTTGGGTAAACATGTTTACCATTGTTACTTTTGTCTTTTTCAGAGGTGTTAAAGCAGGTTTGAGACTTATCTGATCAGGATAGTGATAGTATGCTTTCTTTGAGAGAATTCTGCTTTGCTCTGTATTTGATGGAGCGGTACAGGGAAGGCCGTCCTCTTCCATCTGCACTCCCTACCAATGTTATGTTTGATGAGACACTCTTGTCCATGACAGGCCAACCCAATGTTTCATATAGAAATGCAGCTTGGGGTCCTAATCCTGGTATTAGTTAGGATTGCTTCTAATATCTGTTCATTTTTCTCCTTTCATCATTGTTATCCAAGATTTCTCTTGATAAATGACAATTTTGCCTCTATGTTTTGGACAGCAGCCAGGGATGGTTGCCCAGCCAATGCTCTGTTGACTGGTTTCAGACATCTAATTCCCCCCAATGCTTCTGCTGATACTACTACAATGTCCAATCAACAAAAGTCAAGAGCACCAGTGTTGGATGATTCCTTTGCTGCCCAACTTGATAAGAGTGAGCAGAATTCAGTGAATGGAGCAGCCCAAGATGCAGTGGCTGATGGAAAAAAGGTATGTTTTTGTAAAATAAAGCTTTAATTCAGTAATACTATCTACTCATTTATTTGGCTTGTTCTCTACTCTTCCTCTGGTGTGGTGAGAGTTTGAGGACAACTTTTTATTCATTTCTTTAAAGTATTTTTTATCTAACCTAACTTTTTAATGGTTTTATATTCCTTTCTGAAGGACAATAAGGAGCATGTTTCTTTGAACTTTAACAGGTTGATGGAACAGAAAAGGTGATTTTGAATTCCAAAGAAAAACTTGAGTTCTACTGCAAAAAAATACGGGAACTTGTGAGTACTTTCTATTGTGCATTCCTTTGATTTTGGTCTTCTGAAAACCAATTGTGCAAAAAAAAAACAAAAATCTCAATTTGTTTAAACAAATGCTGAATTGATCCTGGCTGGGTACAGGTGCAAGATTAAACCTGTAGTAAAGCTCCTTATTGTGGATCTTATTCAGGAACTGGAATGAGTAGTTCAAGTCATGCATAAGCTTCTTGTTAGGTTGCTTCAGCATTAGGAAATAATTTCCTTTTTCATCACTGTATTAATAATTTAAGATTGTTCTCATTAGTTTGAATGGTTGAATGTTGTGTTCAATTCTTTTCCTAATTCAAGAGCCATAAGTTGTGAGCTGAATTGTACGTCAAAGCTGGGAAACTTGGAACTTCTTAATTCAATCATTCTTATGCTACTTTCATCTTCCTTACATTCAGGTCCTGTATAAAAGCAGATGTGATAATAGACTAAATGAAATCATGGAAAGGGCAATTGCAGATAAGCGTGAGGTACTCTCAAAAATCTGAAGAAGTATTTCTCTCATTTATTTGGAAGTGATTTTATTAATTTCTAGCTAACAATTTGTATTGCAGGCTGAAATATTGGCGAAGAAATATGAGGAGAAATACAAACAAGTTGCAGAAATAGCTTCCCAATTAACAATTGAAGAGGCAAAATTTCGTGAGATTCTGGTAATGGTTACTTTTTCTTTCATTGAAAATGATATTTGGACTAATTGAGCTTTTCAGAACCCTTTAAAACTGTTGTATTGGTTTTAACATAACTTTGTGTCACAGTGGGTTTCTTCCCAATAATTTTCCTGGCCTGAAATATCTTGATTTTGACTTCCTCATCTTAACGGCTGAGTGTTTGTCAAGGAACTAACTTTTGCCAGGATGAGAGGAGATCCTTATTTACTTTAAAGCTTGATTTCACATTTCTGATGTCTTAGTTCTCTTCCTTTTTCCTTCATTTTCATCCTAAAAATCGTATCTCTGTGTTTCAATCTGTTATCCCTTTATCCATTCTTTCCATAAATTGACCAAAGGCTACAGCTTCTTGCCTACAAGCCATTTGTTACCATCTAGTATGTTATGTTACAGTCCCTCATCAGCCCCCTTGTTTCACTAACTTTTGCAATTGTTTTGTTTTTAGGAGAGAAGGACAGAGTTGCATCAAGCCATTGTTAACATGGAACAAGGGAGCAGTGCAGATGGTATTCTTCAGGTAAATTTAAACCGATCAAGTATATCAAATGTTTAGAGAATCTAAGTAAAATTTTCTGACATGGAGGCATTCATGGCATGTAAAGGTCCGTGCAGACTGTATACAATCAGATCTTGAGGAGCTAATGAAAGCCCTGACCAAAAGATGCAAGAAACATGGATATGATGTTAAGTCAACTGCAGTAATTGAGCTTCCCATGGGTACCTTTTACTCTTTTTTTAGCATTCTTTTAAAAACAAGGTACAGCTCTTATTGAATTCAGACCTGTTCAGCTCTATGATGTTCTTATCATCATGTGTGATGTTCTCCCATGCATTTTAACTCTTTGATCCAACTTCTTGAAGGATGAAGCCTATTTAAGTTCAATGATTCCTTTCAAAAGTTATTTAACTTAATAGACTTAGTGAAGATATTATATCTATCTACGGTGATCTTCATGGCTATGCCATGGTATATTATTTCTCATTACCTCTATTTCTATGCTTGTGTTTGTTCTATGGGCTGTGGATCACACAAGGTTACTCCCCCTATGGCCCTATCCCACAATTTTTTGCTTTTCCATTTTAAGTTGTCCTAATCCCACTAAAAATGGCAAATCATTTCACTCTCCAAACCAGTACGAGGTTAAGTTGCAGCCTAAATCATTGGACCTTCGCTATTTCTTAAATTATATGGATCTCCTGGGCCTGTAGGCCAGTATGAAGTCTTTTTCTTTTCTGAATCTAATTCAAAGTAAAATTGTATGGATGATCAATCCCAGCCCTTCCCTTTACGAGTCAACAAGAAAGTAGAGACCTTCCAAAACCCATACATAATAGATAATACATATAGGCTATAGCCCGATCATTTGGGTTCTAAGCCCAATATCCAGTATTCTACGCCCAAAAACCTCAACGATGAACAGTATATAAGTATGGAAAATTATTTAATAACATATGATTGTGTGATGGACGGGAAGGAAATCGTTATCAATCCAATAATCAAGCTCAGTTGCCTCGATGAAGGCTCAAACCTAAGCACTCACCAGTACTTGTTTGACGTTCGATCAATCCCAAATGCCTTGGATGCATGATTTGTTTGCTTATGTTACTCGAATACCATGCACGTCGCGCATATATTATATTTGCACTTGAAAACCAGTCACTTCTTCCTTTCATGTCTGCCGCTTCTCTTTGCCTGATCACAATCCATAATTATTCATCAAACTACCTTTTTTTTTTTTTTTTTTACATTATGACTAAACTTTAGAAAGGTTTTTTACTTAAATTTTGGAATTGAAAATTTTGTAATAGTCTCAGACTCGAGACAAACGCGGAAATACAGACATTGGCTTTGGCTGGGCTTCCCTTTCTTGTTAAGCTAGCATGGTTCCAAGTTGTTATTAAATGGGGTTGTCTCCCTCTCTACTTGTCTCAGATCTGATTCTGAGACGAGGGTCCAAGTGTTTCAGCCTTTTGCGCAACTGAAGCAAGTCAACATTGAAAAATTGACTTTGCACTTACCTTAATGAGTAGAGTAGGACTGTAGGGTACCCTTTTGGAAACGTGTGTCAACTCAACTCAACTCAATGTTACGTGATGTTTAATTGTTTATATTCTGACTCGTACAACAGCCCCTTCAAATTCTGCAATGAAAATTAGTAAGGATTTATCTTCTTCGCAGACGTGGAATGTGGCAAACGCAGCCATTTGTTTTCTTTTTTAACCGGCGACGACCGCTTAACCTCATGGATAGTCATTGCACAGTTGCAGTCAGTGATATTAGATAGTTTTAAAATAAAGCAAGGGAAAAAACAAAAAAAAAGCAAAATATTTTTCATGTTTGTTGAAGCGTGTGATGGGATTGGGGGTGGGTCACCGGAGGTTGAATAATGAATTCTTGCCTCCACACGTCCAGTCTCTCTCTCTCTTGTTGGCAGATGACTGATGGTTTTGGAGTCAACTTTTTCTCTCCTCCAACTCTTATGTGATGGTTTTCAAATCAAACACACATATATATTAATTTAATTTCTCTGCTGCTTCCTTTGCTTGTTCCTATTCCTATTGTTGTCTTTTTTTTTTGTTTTAATCAGCGAAAACCCCTTCAATACTTCGAACATCGAGAGGCAAACCCTAATTCAAATTCCTCCATAAAAGAACTTATGCGAAGAATTAGGGTAATCCAACAACAGTTTTCCTGGGAATCTTCATAGTAGAATTAGGGTTTGCCAAAGGCATCCTTCATATTCCTTTTCGTCCCTCTTCAAAATCAACAAGGTATGATTGTTACCTTTTTTTCTTGTTTCAATTCTTTGTCTTTTTATCAGCTGTGAGTTGGAAGAGACGAAAAGTTGTAACTTTCTTATCTAAATTTAGTACTTTTTATTTGGTTTAGGAGGGGGGGGGGGGAGTTGCTACTTTCTTCGATTTCAAGATTTTAATAGCTTGCAATTAGATTCTAATCTAAATTCAGTGCTCATTCGACTTACTTAATTTAGATTTGTAAATTATGCTTTTGGATTGAGATGAGATTCTCTTTTCGATGGTTTTCATTCTGTCTTGGTGGTGTCGCGTAATGCTTTATTTCCCTGATTCTAGAGAAATACAAGTTGCCTTCTTAAAGCTACAGCAATCATTTCTGGACAAGCACTTAGTTGTTTAATTGTAAATTTCCTTAGTCTTATGCATTACCTTGGCAAACTAATGGAGCGTGAAATAGGAATCATGTTTATCACACTCTCTTTTTCATATTAAAGCATAACACTGTTTTACTGTCACCTAGTAGCTCCTTGATTTTGGTTGAACCCTTGAACTTTGATTGTGCTGTTTTTATAGTTGTCTTCTGCCTTCCTTTTCATGATTGCTATCTCATTGGTTATTGCAATTGCTATTGTCTCTGTTATTATTTCAAGCTTTTAATAACCTAATTTTTTATTAAGCAATTATACATTTTTTGTGGTGACTATATTAGTCAGATGGCTGGGAGCTGGGACGGAAGTTACAACCCTGGGAGCCAGTCCGATGAGAGCTTTCATTTTGAGAGACTGTACATAGAGCCCATTTATGATGCATTTCTATGCCCTTTGACAAAGCAGGTTATGTGTGACCCTGTGACGTTAGAAAATGGCCAAACATTTGAACGTGAAGCAATTGAAAAGTGGTTCAAGGAATGTAAGGAAAGTGGAAGGAGGCCGGTTTGCCCATTGACTCTGAAAGAACTAAAAAGCACAGATCTAAATCCTAGTATTGCTTTGCGGAACACCATTGAAGAGTGGACTACTAGGAATGAAGCTGCCCAGCTTGATATGGCTCGTAGATCATTAAATATAGGCAGTTCAGAAAATGATGTTCTGCTGTCTCTGAAGTTCATCCAACATATCTGCCAAAAAAATCAATCCAATAAACATGTTGTACGCAATGCTGATCTAATACCTATGATTGTTGACATGCTAAAGAGCAGCAGCCGTAAAGTTCGGAGCAAAGTGTTGGAGACACTCCAAGTAGTGGTTGAGGAAGATGCAGATAATAAGGTTGTTCTAGGTTTGATGTTTTCTTGTACAGTGACAATGACATCATTGTAATGTATGCATCCAGGACTGGATTACTAACCAGATATGCATGCTTTTTCAGGCAATATTGGCTGAGGGGGACACTGTGCGTACAATAGTTAAGTTCTTGTCCCATGAACAGTCCAAGGAGAGGGAAGAGGCTGTCTCTTTGCTTTATGAACTATCAAAATCTGAAGCCTTGTGTGAGAAGATTGGTTCAATTAATGGATCAATTCTTATATTAGTTGGAATGACAAGCAGCAAATCTGAGAATGTTTTGACTGTTGAGAAGGCTGATAAAACTCTAGAAAATCTGGAAAAGTGTGAGAACAATGTCAGACAGATGGCTGAAAACGGTAGATTGCAGCCTCTTTTAACCCAGATTCTTGAAGGTGCTCCTCTCTTTCCTTGACATTTTGTGCTTTTCCTAACTTGTTGCAAGCATACTGGTCCTCCATCATTTTTTGGGTGCAGCCATGTACTTTTGGCCCTGACTTTGTTTTGTTGAAAAATTTTACTTTTTTTTAAAAAATAATATCCTTCTAACATGCTCATCAGTATGCTAATTGTCAATTGACTGCAGATCTTTTTATGTAATTATGATTGCCTCTATTTTTCATGCATAGTCCTTAGTTCATTTGTCCTTACCCTGAAACTTGCTAGTTATTTCTTTGCTACTCCCTCTGGGATTAAATATGCCTGCTTTTGGGGAATTATCTCCATTTTAAATCATGAAGTTGTGAAAATATTTGTCCAGCTGCTGACAACTATAGTTTGAACATTTTCATATACTAAACCTTGTTTGTTGCTTCGGCTTGGATGCTAAATGATCTAAATTGATTTTTGGTGTTAACATGTCTTGAACTTTTTAAACATTTGTTGTGTTCTTTATCTCTGCAACCTTAGCCTCTCTAGTCAGGGGGTATCACATATTTTGTAGCAAACTTCATCTGCATCATAGTACTAGTAGTAATTTTCCTAACTGGCTGACACCCAGGAGCAGGATTTTTGTTGTTGTCCTGAACAGGTAGTCCGTCATATTTGAACATTCTAATCATGTACGTTGCTATATCTCTATAGTTAAAGTAAAATGGTATTGCTGCAGGTCCTCCAGAAACAAAGCTTTCCATGGCTGCATATCTTGGTGAGTTGGTTTTGAATAATGATGTGAAAGTCCATGTTGCAAGAACTGTAGGTGCATCTCTGATCAATATCATGAAAAGTGGTAGCATGCAATCTAGAGAAGCTGCTCTTAAGGCTCTTAACCAAATCTCATCTTATGAAGCAAGCTCCAAGGTGTTGATTGAGACAGGAATACTTCCCCCCCTTGTCAAGGACCTCTTCACTGTTGGTGCCAATCAGCTTCCCATGAGACTGAAAGAGGTTTCCGCCACAATTCTAGCCAATGTTGTAAACTCAGGGTACAAGGTAGATTCCATCCCTATTGGGCCGGACCATCAGACTCTTGTTTCAGAAGACAATGTCCATAGCTTACTTCGACTAATCAGCAACACTGGTCCACCAATTGAGTGCAAACTTCTTCAAGTTCTTGTTGGACTTACTAGTTCTCCGACAACAGTTCTGAATGTTGTTGCTGCCATTAAAAGCTCTGGGGCTACTAACAGTTTGGTTCAGTTTATTGAGGTTCCCCAGAATGATTTGCGTATGGCATCCATAAAACTTCTCCTGAACCTCTCTCCTCACATGGGTCAAGAATTAGCAGATGCACTACGCGGCACGGTTGGCCAGCTCAGCAGCCTAATTAGAGTCATATCAGAAAATATGGGAATTTCTGAAGAGCAGGCAGCAGCTGCTGGCCTCTTAGCTGAACTCCCAGAGAGGGATTTGGGCCTCACACGACAAATGCTAGATGAAGGTGCTTTTCAGTTGATCATCTCTAGAGTTGTCAAGATCAGGCAAGGAGAGATTAGAGGCACCCGTTTTGTAACACCATTCCTTGAAGGACTTGTTCATGTGCTTGCAAGGGTTACTTTTGTCTTGTCAGATGAGCCTGGTGCTGTTGCCCTTTGCCGTGAGTCTGGTCTTGCAGCATTATTCATTGATTTGCTTCAGGCCAATGGTCTTGACAATGTGCAGATGGTTTCTGCCGCAGCTTTGGAGAACTTATCTCAAGAATCCAAAAATTTGACGAGATTGCCTGAGTTGCCAGCACCTGGATTTTGTGCCCCTATCTTTCCATGTTTTAGCAAACCAGCTGTCATAACAGGATTGTGCTGTGTCCACCGGGGAACTTGTTCACTTAGAGAGAGCTTTTGTCTTTTGGAAGGGCAGGCCGTGCATAAGTTGGTTGCACTCTTGGACCACACAAATGAGAAGGTGGTTGAAGCAGCACTTGCAGCACTTTCCACTTTGTTGGATGATGGAGTTGATATTGAGAAAGGAGTGATAATTTTGTGTGAGGCAGAGGGAATTCAGCCAATACTTGACGTGTTACTTGAGAAAAGAACAGAGAACTTGAGGAGAAGAGCAGTTTGGGTAGTGGAGAGACTTTTAAGGACTGATGATATAGCGTATGAAGTTTCTGGATATCAAAATGTGAGCACTGCACTTGTTGATGCCTTCCACCATGCTGACTGCAGAACCCGACAAATTGCAGAGCGTGCCCTAAAGCACGTTGATAAGATCCCAAACTTCTCTGGAATTTTTCCAAACATGGGATAAATTTATTGCTTTGTACATGCCTTATTCATAATTGGCTGAGTATAGCAACCTGTATGTAGTCCATCCTTTGCCAAAAGCTGTTTGATTTCAGTCAATACATGGATAGTTTTGCAAGGCATTAAGGTGCAAGTAGATATTGGTGTATATGGATTTCCCACTTTGTAGGGGGTTTCAAGGAGTAGTTCGTTTGTTCTTCTTAATGATGTTATTTTCATTGACCTTCATTTCTTTATACAAACTACTATTGTTTTGGCATTGAGTGGTGTAGGCCTTTATTTCTTTTACAATATGCCTTTTTGAGTTCCTGGCGTTTTATCATATGAAGTTCTTTGCTTCAAACAAAATTCCCACGGTGGATGTTCGTTAGTAATTAGTAAAGGACGACATGTACGACCTTTTTCATTTTTATTATTAACAGCATAGGATGCACAAATATATATATATATATATATATATATGTTTTTTTTGTTCAGTGACAGGATTCGCTATTAATATCAAAATCAGTTGCATTGGGTTAAAGCCAACTAGCACAGCACCCACACTTCCGGATGTGGTAGGAAGCAGACCTGATTTTTTTTTTTTTTTTTTTTTTTTGTTCAGTGGCAGATTAGCCATTAACACCAAAACCGTTTGCATGCATAACTTTGAACACAAACAAATATGGGGGTGGGGGAAATGTTTTGACTAAGTGTCTTTTGCTAGGCCCCTATTGCTTTGTGGAATGAATACCATTGACTCGGATATCCATCATGGCAAAGATTCCTTCTCCAGGTTTCGCTGTAGTAGGATTCCTCTAGTGTGTTCAAAGATTCACAACAATCTAAGGCTGGTATTAAGGAAATTTTGTGTATTTTGATTCAAAAGTGAGTAAACTGGAAAAGCATTGGATATTTGGATGCATCTTTACGGCACTTGGGCAATGCATGGAGTGTACTGATCATTCAAATTCAAGCACATTTCTGTTATTTTCTCACAAGGACACATAACGTTTCCGATAAAGAATAAAGTTTTTTAAATCTTCATAAATAATTTGGAAGGAAATTAAGCTTACAGAGTTATAATAAGAAAGATCCTTTGTACTAGAAATTAGAAGCAGTTATGCTCAAAGTCAAGATCACGTTCAGTTCATTTAATGGAAGCCTAACATAATAGTTTGTGACAGTTAGCATTGACATCAATCCTTAATTTTTTTTATTTTTAATTCAAGAACCATGATGCTTTCAGATTCTCTTTCTTGACAAATTTACAAATTTACAAGCTTTAAACATTAGAAAATAGAATTTCTGTCTTTTTCCCCCTTTTCCAAAAATAATTGTCACAACTTGATCAAAGAAACCAAAAGACAACAAAAGCAATTTATGAACAATGGTGAAGAAATTACAAGGAAGATTATGAGTGACCATACCTCTGCTAAGACTGAATACGAACGAGAAACCAGAGGCAGTTGCCATTGTACAAATTGTGGAAATTCAAGAAATAAATATGAAATTCATAGATCCAAATGTACACACAAAATCCCCCAATGAGCAATAATGTTTTAAAATTTTCCGATTGAATTACAGTGCATTGCAAACATATTACAGATGTAGCACCGCCATTGTCTTGGTCATGCAAGAAGAAGCATCTAATTCATGAGCCAAGTGATTCCTAGAAATATGGTTCCAATTCATCTCCATATCAGACACATCACACGCAGTGAAGAAATCCAACACTTGACCAAATATTTTGAACATTTCAACCCCAAATACTACGTTCCTGTCAGCAACAAAAGCAGGGTTCCAGTCCATTGGAGCATCCGGGTGTACTAAGACCTCAGTCCATGTAAGATACATCAGATCTAGCTCCCACAATTTTCTTACAGCCTTGTTTCTCCGACCAATTTGCCCATCTCCCTCACACCAAGAGACAGAAAGCATAAACAAGCGACCATTACAAGACACAAGTTTTGGGTAGTACTCATGAACACGGCGAGGAAATCTGGATGTTTGGATTCCAATCCAAAAGCCTCTTTCTATGTCATAACCTGCTAACTTGTCATTCTCAGAGCAAACATAAAACATTCCATTACAAACAACCCCAGCACAAACGACCCCAAACTCTATAGGCAGCTTCTGGATTTCAGTCCATTTATTTGATATAGAATCATAGATTTCACCAGAATCCAGTGGCTCATCCCGAGATCCAAGACCTCCAACAGCAATCAACACAAATCTTTTACAACCCTTTGTATTTGATTGTTCACTTGTTTGTCTCATAAACTTGTATGATTTTCTATTGAGTAATAATGAAGGCTCATTTTCATCAAAAGGATTTCTGTATTGATGCCTGAGTGAAAGCCTGTGCGGACCCTCATAACCATCTGACACTCCACCAACTTGTGATCTGGGAAACCGCCTATCATTTCGACTCTGATGGCTTTGAATGACCAAGAAATCTGAAGTAACCTCAGATATTCCTAAAATAGGCATTGATCTAGCATACCTCATAGATGAAACCTTACGCCAGGATTTGGTGAGAGGGCTAAAGACCAATACACCTTTGTGTGTCTTAACTGAGCTCCTATCCACCCTCCCAAAGTTGGTTAGGCTTGAACAACCTCCAACAATATAAACATCATCCTGGATACCGGCAACTGAGAACATGAACCTTCCTCTGAGGTTATCAGCACCAATCCTATGCCATTGATCTTGAGACACATCCAGTGCATGTATCTCCCCAGAGCAATAGCCATCTTTAACTGCACCAAAGAGAAACAACCACGGGTTCTGATAAGAACCTTCTAGTCGCATCTGCAAAAACCGAGGAGATGTAGTCAAGTGTCTCCATTTCTTGCACACAAGGCGGGCATTCATAAGACTGGTCAGTGGTAGTCTCACCAAGCACATCTCTAGAATGTCGTCTGGAAGAAAGATATACATCCTGCTGTGTTGTACAGATTCCTCAAGTTCTAAATCTTTTCTATTGTTTTTCTTCCAAAACTTCTCCTTCATCCCATATGAGAAGCAATCAAACTTATTGTCCTCAGTACCCCAAATTGCTTTGTACACCTTTCCTTCTTCACTGGAACTTGACCTTCTCCTGTTACTTGGATCACCAAATTCCTCATCCATATCAGCACCCACTTTGCAACCACCACCTCTACCATATAGAGTAAGACAGTTCAAGGAGACCCTTCTCACCTTATCCTCTTCCTCCCCTTCACCTCTATGGTTTTTTTTCCTCAACTTCTGACTAACACTCCTCACAATCCGTTTTGACACGGTCAGAGCCTCAAAATCCTGATGAAGAGACTCCTCCCGACTCATGCTCTCGGCAAACATTACAGTCTCCACCTCTGGGCATGCAAAGTTGCACACCCATTTCTATCTTGCTAGCTGCATTTTGGTTACTTACACTCTTGCCATCTACTAGAAAACAAGCAGATGACCATGGGAAATGGTGAAAAGTGCTTGATAATATTCCATTCCTTGAAATCCAGTGAATACTAGAGCCAGAAAATCCGTAGCATAAACTACTCGTTTTTCCTTCCCCACGAGTATATCATGATGAGGCCAAGTTACGGCAGCTCCCGGTGAAAGGAAAATAGTTCTGCTAGTAAACATGTTAATCAGAGAACATAGAGTCAAGCAGACAAATATCAAAATGTTTGGAGCAAAGACAAGAGACTTAATTTGAATCGTGAGAGCTTCGAAAAAAGAATCAGAAAAAAAGGCAAATGAAGGAGAAACAAATAGGAATTGACGACGTAAAAGCAATACAAGAACAACAATGAATACCATTACATTTTATTAAATCAAGAAATACATGCCGAAAGCAATAAATTACAGTAGAATTCACCTAAAAGTAAAGTTTTAGCAGGGATATATTGTCGTTTACAGATCCATAGACTGCATTTTCTAATTATAAGATTTATACAACTCGTTTCCCCTTTCAATTCAATGTAAATTACTAGTACTAATTTAAGCTAACAAAGAATGATTAACATGCTACAAACCTAAACTCCAGAACCTGAAATCAATTGCATTATTAAAATGAAAACAAGCAATACAAGGGAAGGGACTTACATTGCAGGAATGAAACTTCAGAGAGAGATCGATGATTAGGATTAGTAAAGGTTTGAATCCAGACAAACTTAATCGACAAAAATAAGTGTTTGGTGGGTAAAGCGATGCATCAGCTCTTCGCTTTCCCGTTTACCGTTCTCTCTCTCTCTTTTTTTGGTTTAGTATTCTTCTTCCAGTTCCAGTTAAGTTTCCACCTTATAGCAAGCCTTTCTTAACGTTTATCGTGCAAGCCATATCACAGCCGTCGATCTCCACGGCAACAACTTCGAAGATGCTCGGGACTGGATGACTCAGCGGCTGTGAGGTTTTTTAGGGTAACAGCCAGTGATCCCTTCGTTTCTTCATTTCTTCTTTTTTATCTTAAAAAAAAGGGGGGGGGGGGGTCGGTGCTTTAATTAGAGCACGTTGGCTGCACGTGTGAGGTTTAGTTTTGCGGCGGTGGTTGAGGATGTGTGAAAGCGAAAAGCTCGGCGTGAGAATGGCGGTCCCCTTGTTTTTCGGGCTTGATATAGCTATATACAGTATTCTTTTTCCTAAGCAAAAAGAGTACTAATATTATATTATTACTCTTTCCTGCCCTTTGTCGCATGGTTCCACAGTTGGATTGATAGATATCCAGCAGCAAAAGGCATGGATGCTAGAGTGCTATTGTTGTTTTCCCTACTACTCAAGCCTTTTCGGAGTTTCAACACTACAACAATAATGGCGGTCCGATTGCTAAAAAATTCTCTGGTTCTCGATGCAATCAGACTCTCAGACCAAAACTCATCCCGATTTTTAACTCGTGTAATGAAATTGAACTCTGACAAACCAGGAGATGACCAATCAAATTTGCATGTGGCTAGTTGTTGGGAAAATCCTTCATCTCAAGAATGGGCAGGGTACCGCCAGACAACAATAACCAATGGAATGGTCAATGATAGTACTTAATTATTTGATTTACAGAAAGAGTGCTAGGCCTAGAACATATCTCTCAAGATTCAGTTTATTTACAGAAAGTAAGAAGATGAATAGGAAAGAACGAAAGAAAGAAAGAAAGAAAGAAAGACGGGTTGAACAATGAATCCTGCCAATCGGTACAGCATGAGTTATCTCAGATGTAGAGGATTTAAAAACTCAATAAGAATCATATTCTACATGATAAGGATGTCCCTTAATGAGGATGGATGTTAGCCACAGTGAAGGGGACAGCAGAAGCTACTTGGGGGAAAAATGCCATGACCATTTCGCCATCCAATGTGTTTATGCACAGACTCTTTCAACCATCCCCTGTTTCATCAGTTACAATACAGTACACCCTTCAGTAAATTCAGTCCTTCTGCTGATATGCTCCACCGGACACAGGATTGTGCTATTTCTGTTCAAGGTGGAGGATCAACAGAGAAACAAACCACAATTACTGTTAAATTATCAAAACTTTTGCGCCTCAGTGCCTCCCTGACAAGCTCTCTTGAACATCTTTCAGGATCATTATGAAGCATCAGCTCCTTCCTTGCCATAGTCACAGCACACTGGCTGCTCATAACATCCCACAGCCCATCACATCCCATTATCAAGAATTCGTCATCCTCACTCAGGTCTGTCTCCTACAGCTCTGGCTCTGCACTTAAAGGACAGGCAGATCCTTTTGGCCCCTTCATGTGCCAGTCTCCAAGTGCACGTGCCACAGATAATTGACCATTGAGGTAGCCATCATAAACAACTCCGCCAAGTTTCTCAATTCTTAGTCTTTCAGAAGTACAATTAGGTTTGTGGTCCTTGGACATTTCAATTGCTCTACCTCGCCTTCCCAGCACAGCTCGACAATCCCCAGCATTTGCAATTATCAAGGTCCTATGAAGAGAAAGTAATGTTAAGAGTCTTAGAGGTAGCCAAATCCTGACTTTCAGAATGCAGAACATGACTACTGAAAGACATTGAGTTCAGGTTCGACCAATGCATAATGTTAAACACACCAGTGGGCTAGTGTATTCTGGTGATGCTCAAACTAGAGTCAGAAACAGATGTTTTATTTATCCTCAATCTCTAAATTCCTATTGCTAAGCAATTAAAACTTGTTATAAACTGCTTTCCCACTAAACCACAAATGATGAACTCTATATTAAGTTTTTAAGATGAATGGGATCTCCATTTAATTCAAAATTGTATGCAAGTTTCAACGTGCTTGAACTTTTTCCAAAGAATTGCTTGCAATGTTAGAGATGAAAACTCTTCATATCTTTAGCCTTTTGTCCTCCTTCTACATTTTCCGTACAAATAATTTGTCAAACAAATTTGATAAACGATTATATACAATGTCTTGCTTCAATGCAGAATCATTTTTTTATGTCAATGACTCAATGCACAGGATATTAGGACATCTCAAACCAAAAAAATGGCTGCAAGAAGAGGAGTTTTATGGAACAACGTCAAAAAGGAAAATTACTAGTGCAAATCTGTGGTTCATTTACCTTCCAAAAATAAGTGCAGTTAATGCAGTGGTACCAGAAGATATATCAAGAGAACTAGCATCTGCAAATGCAAAATCGGCTTCCAGAAAAGCACTCTTAATTGCCTTCTCCACAAGAATGGGAAAATGAGAGTCTTCAACTATGAATTTAAGGATATTCTTCCTAATAAATAGAGCTGCATCTGTTCCTCCATGACCATCAAAAACATGTCCACATGTATTGGCAAGAATCAGTTAATGAGTATTGTCAACTATGATTCCTAAACCACCTTTCAGGGTAATTGTACAAATAATAGAACGGAAATGTATAGACATCTTAAACTTAGCCATGAAGTAGCAAGTTATAAGGAGGCAGCAGGTCGAAGGGAGAAAAATTACTATAAGTAATGTGCATCTGGGGAAAAAGGATTGTGTAATGTTTAAAAACTTGTCGTATTGCTACCATAAGATCAAGCTGCTTTTTTTTTTCTCTTTTTGGCCTGGATAAAATCTCCAGATTCCCTTTTTCATGAAACGGAATGTGCTCCAAACACCACAGCCAAACCTTCCTCAATACTAACCACATAAAGGTAAACACATTAAATGATATAGGCAGAGGCTATATCAATGAGGACACACGTTTTTCACTACTGACTAACAACAAAGCTATATCAATGAGGACAAATGTCACTACTGACTAACAACAATGCCAAACAGTCTGATGGAAGTGCATAAATCAAATACCATATAAATTGAACAAAGTTCCATATTTCAAATGTAATTACGATGGTTCACCAAAAGATTATTTATTAACCACCCTGGCCAGGTCATATATCATAGACTCTAACATGATCATACCCCATAGAAAGCTCCTGGAGAAGGGAACTCTGCAGTTGCCCCCAGATGTCCAATAAGATCATCTATGCAAATGTGTTCATCCTCCATATACTGTTTGGGTCCTATTTCAGCACAGCTTCCTGATCGCAACACAGGCAAAAACTCAGTTTTTTCATCGGAAGATGATTTGTGGACTACAATACCAACATCCAATTCCTAGAGAAGAAAAAAGAAGTGTGTGAGAAATGGAAAGGAAAGATTATCTGGAATCTTGCAGCTACATAGATTAAACTAGTGGGTGGCCAAAAAAAAAAAAGAAAAAGATTAAACTAGTGCAAAGAAATTCCTAAATCTGATTTTATCTTCTGCCAGTTATGATACAACAGAATATCAAATGAAAGCAATGTAAAATCTCGCTCAAGTTGATAATTTTCAACAAAATATAAACAGCTATAGATCTCCAAAGGATAATCCTTATATCTCCTAAAATCTTGATCAAATTGGAGAAAGTGACAGAAGTTTATGCAGCACAAATGCAAAAACGACATTTCAGGATGATATCATTTATTCCCAAAAGAGTCAGCAGATTTTTATGACCAAAACAAACCTGAGTACAACTATTTGTGAATTTTCCAAGTAATTTTAAACTAGTTAATAAGTCATATGATATATGTTGAGATTTTATGTTAATCTAAAAGGTCCCTAAAGATCAGGCTCCTGCAAATCCATAATGATCGCAAGAGGGATTAGAAGAGATTAAACATACCAAATTAGCCTCGGCAATCAGCCATGCTGGACTCACACAATGGTTCATAACTGAGAGGTGGCGCTGAGGTTTACCAAGAGTGACTTGTTTCACATTATCCAGATTTTCATTTTCCATGTCTGATACATTATCCTTACTATAAACACCTTCTATGGTTATAAATGGAGGTGAAAAATCCATACCCGCTGCCATATTCCTTTGGCAACCATAAATCAAAGGCCTCGAAGAACACTTTCAAGTTGCAAAAAACAAACCTTTCTCTAAAATTCTTGGAGCAGCTTCTCAAAAGGTTCCAAAACAACCAAATCCTGAAGCAATCAAATAAGTTGACGAGATTTCAAACTAAAGGAATCTTATGTATTGTGCATCAGAGTTCCTCGACAACAATTCAAAAATCTGAGAAAACCAATTCTTTGTGAAAAGGTGTAATAATTCTAAATCAAACTAGTCTTCAAAAAAAATCCAAACTTAAGCCCTCAATTACCTTTGATCAAGCTATCCAGCAAACCATCTAAAAGTTGGGTTTTTATAATCACTTGAAGCAGTTGCCGAAATTTCTCCAAAAGATCAAAACTCGAAAAATTCCCAACAAATCGATGAAAACAATATCAGAATATTCGTTCAAGGTAAAAAAAAAATGGAGCAGATGATTACATCAATGAAAGGAAAGAAACAACAAAGCTTCAACGATTGGAGGAAAGCTCTGAAGAAACGCAGGGAAACTCTCACAGGGGGTAAATATGATGATTCTTTGTGTTTTGCCTTCTTTTTTCTTTTTGGGTACTTTCTCGTCAGATGATCAAAGACAAAGAAAACCGCTAAACAGACAGAGAGATGGAAAGAGAGAAGCAAAAGGCGTTCAAAAGAGAGAATTGGATGATGAAAAAGAAAGTATAACTTGTTGTTCTTGTTGGTATGTGGCTGGCGACCGGCGAATCCAGGTAATACGGTGGATCTGCGAAGCTGTCGCGGGTCGAGGATGGCGTTTGTGGCTTTCAATGATTTGTGGAACTCTGGGTTGACCCGATTTTTTTTTCTTGTTTGTTGCGGCCAGAGCTTCCCAGCCGTTGGATCTCTGTACTGCCTTTTGTAACGGTTAGAGTGATGAGAGGTTAGGTTCGTTAATGCAGTTTGTGATTCCCGGGGCCGACGATGGAGGCTTTCATTGAAGAAAGTTGTTATTTCGGCTAAGAAAGAAAGAAATTGCTTTCTTTAACTCCACCTTAAAGAAACAAAAAGAAGAGTGATGAAGGCGGCGATTAAGAGCCGATGCTAACCATTCTTGCATCCCTGCAGCCATATGTCATCACCGTTTATAATTTTTTGTTATGATTATCATGTAAGTGAGAGAGTTGCATGGTGGATGATCTTAGGCGGTGGGTTTTTCGGTTAAGGGGAAGGAAGAAGGAATTCAACGAAGGATAGCCTTTTGTAGCAGCCATGGACTGGACTTGCCTTGCCTTGCCATTGGACCTAAACTGGGCCTCAATGTTCTGTACAAGGATAACAAACAACTCAACTCTTCTCAGAGTAGCTAATTTGAGCCTACCTAAGTAAATGTGAGCCCAAATTCACTCAATTGCGCTACACTACACTTTTGACGTTAGTAAAGTCACTCTCAGACGCTCCTTCCTTGGGCCAAAAAGTGGCAAATTTTGAGCGTGAAAAAAGGGATTGTAGTTAAAGCTCGAACCAAAAGCTGGGTTGTCTGAGCCAGCCAGCCAGCCAGCCTTACTGAAAGTTCAAACTTTGTTTGACTTTCAGAATTCGAACTCTTTACCTTATATCTGTTTAATTATTAAAACTCTTTTTTAAGTTAGAATACCTTTTCCTGGCCAGCTATAATAGGAAAACTTTGCATATTGTTCTTCTGTGAAAAAATAGCTACCAACTGGCAGCAGGATCAATCAACCACCTCCAAACTTTCGGCATCGCTGACTGCTCTGGTTCGGAAATACTGCTGAAAAATCAGAAAAGATAAAGCTACAAAATTGGAACTTATGGTTAGACTTAGAATATATATATATATATATACACATAGATCAATCACTGGTACATAAAATTGTTTGCAATATGATACAAATTGTTTGCAATATGATACATTCTCTATTTACAGAATTTGTAATATTCTTCTGTGAGAAGAACAGCGGCTAGCTGGAGAGAAACAAATGACAGTTGCACTAGATTGCTGTTATATATTTCTGGAAGAATTTCTCCTCTTTGCAGTGCTTATATAGTACCTTATAAATCTCAATCAAGAGTTTAGGAAATCGACTATAGAAATATCCATCAAATCCTTCAGGAACTGGCCCCAATAATTCTTGGATTTCTTGAGGAAGTTCCCTGTAGTGATTTAGCTTGTTCCGTATTACCCGCAAAAGGTCACGAACACTATCAAACTTATATTTCCTATATTGACCAATGTTATTAATGAATGCAGTTTCCATCTTTTCTTCCCATTTCCCATCCAAAGCAACTACAGCAACACTTTCTAATGCATTTAATAGTTCTGATTCATTTTTCCTGTCTTCCAATTCAACACGATCGCTAGCTTCTCGAAGAAATGAAAGTCTCATCTCGGAACTCCAAAAGAGCGGATGATGCAAAACATCCTGTGCCTTTGGCCTACAACATATCACAATCAATGTCATTAGAGGAGACGCATTGGGTACAAGATGAGGTACATCACTAAAGTTAGTTGTAAGCATTTAGCTTGATCCTATTGTTAAAATACTTACAACATAACAAGCCCATAGAGGCTATAAGCATATGACCAGCCCAAATAACTTCCTAATAAGACAGCTGAAACATTTTCTATCTGTAAGATTTAAGAATGCACTTCATATGCCTGTGCATGTGCATGTGGACAAGAAGAGCTGTGCTAAAATATGAAGCACAAGAGCATTCAACAAAGGCATAATAATAGGATCATCAAAATTTGATGCAAACTCAGGAGTGAGGATGATCAATTACCTCATTTCTGGGTTGGGATCTAAGAGATGAGATAAAAGATCCATTGCTTCGGGTATACTCTCTATCAAGAACAGGTCCTTTCGGTCATTCACAATATTTACATCACGTTCAATATTATCCCCATAAGGGTGTTTACCACCAGTAATGCAAAAAAATAGAACACAGCCTAAACTAAATAAATCCACAGCACGTGTTTGGCGTCCTTGACGTAGTTGTTCAGGTGCTTGCCAACCTGAACTTCCATAACCTATAATTAGCAGCAATATAAAGAATTAAGTCAATTAATCTTTGTGAAAGCGGTGTGTGTATATATATATATTGAAAATAAAGCATATTAGGAGGATCGTCATTCATATTTATCAACGTTTCCTAGGTAGGTTCATCCAATCCTCAAGCCATTAAAAAAACCCACGAAAAGTACATGGTTTACGTGTTGCTGAACTGGAGGAGATCGATAAGCTTACCAGTAGCACTCTGAGTTAAGGAAGACATATCCCCAATCAAGCGCTTGCTAATGCCCATGTCTGAAAGCTTTGCACATAGGGATCTCTCCTTGATTATCAAAACATTTTGAGGCTTTAGATCTCGATGAATGATGCCAATTTCATGTAAATGGGCAAGCCCAGAGACTATATCTCTACATAAAATGATAACAATGTCAAATTCTAATCAATCTTTACATAAATGATAACTATATATATATATATGTATATCAAAATTACCTCATCAGTTTCAACAAATGGGGCGAAGGGCACCCATTAGGCTTCCAAAGTTCAACATCCTTGTTATTTTCCATCACAATATGCAATCGAGCACCATACTCATTGAAGAATTTCGAATCTTCATCCTTGTCAATGGCTTGATTTTGAAAAGATTCAGAGTATGCATAGATCAGGTCGTTTAAGCTACAGGTACAACGCTCTAGACAGAGATAAACAAAATCCTGATCCAACTCTACCCCATACCAGCGAACAATATTTGGGTGTTGATCAGAAGCAATAAGGTTCTGAATCTCTTTCAAAGCCACATCGTGGTGAGTCTGCACAAGACGTTTAACTGCTACAGGACGGCCATCATAAATCCCCTCAAGCACTACGGTACCATTGCTTCCTTTACCTATTTCTTTGTTGGAAACAAGTAACTTACCAATGCTGCGTCCATCTACACGACCATCAACAAGATCTGTAAAGGTTAGCAATGATTTGCCTTCATTCCCTTCAGTGCATGGAAGTATGTTGGTGTTTCCAACCTTATTCTCCTCTGGAACAAGTTTCTTCCTTTTCTCATTATTGGCACTGTTCTTACTTTTCCCAGATCTTTTAGGTTTTTTCTTTTTATGTACTGCTTGCAATTTAAATTCTTGATCGTGCTTACTCCCCTTACCCTGTTTTAAGCTGTAAAAGGCTAAGCTGATGATAGTCAACAGAGTAGCAAAGAAAGCAACGAAAGATTGTATGCTGGATCCCGCCATGTGAAACCTCCTTGTGATGTTTATATTAATATTATCCAACATAAGAGGGTTTTCCATCTCAGAAGCTGGCAAAGCAAGCCATGCCTTGTTATCAGGAAGAGCCAATGGGAATTTTTCAGCATGTGGCAAGCGAGGATTTTGACTTGAAGCTGGCAGAGGGATTATTCCATTTAGCCAGCCAAAACCAGGAAGAGACTCCAACAATTTATGATCAGGAATTTGGATAACAACAAGCCTCATCTGACAAGGTAATTGCAACTCAGAATCGTGCATGTAGTCTACAGAAAGTTTTTTCTCTGACCCTTGACATCGAAATTCAGCATCAATTTTGGCAAATGCCACATTCCATAATACTTCAGCAGAGTTTGGAGAATAATACTGCAGCACATAATCTGTCCTCATAATGTAGACAAGCTGCTGAACTGTTGTTGAGTTAACAGAACCAGAATCCACCAGTGCATCAGCATCCATTGTCCAAAGAACTGTTTTTCCTGCATTATTCCGAACATCTAGTGTCGAGGGAGGATCATCTAACCTATAAGTTTGTACCATTCTTCCAGAGTTTGCATCAACAAGGTAAACAGTGGTCTTCTTTGTTCCCAAAGTGATCCCTCCATCCTCTGCTATGTTGGGTGTTCTTCTAACATATTCTTCAGCGCTCAGTTCAAGTTTTTTCTAGGGTGCAAAAAAAAAAAAAAGGAGCTCATAAAGACATTATTATAACAGATGGATATGATGAAACAAAGCATATACGCAAGACCCTATGCTACTTAATCAGTCAAATTCAATAATATTTATTATACAATAGAATCAATGACTAAGAAAATCCAACACTAGTGTGGGACACACAACTTTAAGAAAGACACGTAGGGTAAGTTTTGATACCAATCTTCCTTGGCGCCGGCTATGGACATAGAGTTGCAAATCATCCCCACAGTCCACATACAAATCACTGTTTGGTCCAGACACATTAAGCTTATCATTGTCGCGGTCTTGGAAGGCCTGATAAGATGAATAAATTGGCCTGCCCGAAGCGAATGACCAGTGAACCTTCCTCGATACTCTGTCCACTAAATGCATTGTTCCGTCCAGAGTAACCACCACTGCCGTTCCATCGTTACTAAATAAAGACACCAAAAACAAAATTGATTAGAACTGGTTTTAGGCGCTTAAGCTAACTCCAGATAGCTCGCTGCAGCCTTTATAATAAATGGAACCAATTAACGTGCAATTCAGCAAAATTCGTTATGATATATATATATATATATATATTAATTGCATGAGAATAGTAAGTTAAAGATTGCATTTTTACTTACAGAGGGGGCGGCAGAAAATGATTGGAAAGAGAGGTTTGCGAGATCTCCGAGCAGAAGAAGCCGCGTATTGATGGAGAAAATAAGATCGTTAACGGCAAAAGGAATATCAGAGATCGTCTCATTGATTATGCTAAAATTTTCGATCTATAAGCGTAATTTAGAAGTGAGATTTTTGTGAGATTTTTGCAGAATACCGCAATCGACGCGTATTAGTCAATTAGGGTTCCCCTTCGATTCTTTTTCTCTCCAATCCACCCGACCTCTTCCTTCCTCGTTGTCGGTCAGTTTGTTGGATTTGTAACGCTTGTTCTTTCTATAACCAATCAGATCGTGACGAGTTAGCATACTTAACGAACTTGTCCTGGCTACGGTTAGTATATATGGGTTTAAAAGGGACAAAAGTTTTTTTCTTCGGTTATTTTATTTTCATTCCATTACAATTAAATTAATAATAAATGAAAATTTATGATTCGGTTTTTTTTTTTTTTTTCAATACTACTTTGTTATTTTCAGAGTATGTAGGTTAACATAGATTTTTTTTTCAAATAAATCTATTTAATTAGTGAAAGTTTTTTTTTTAATGAAATTAGAATTTTTAATTATAAATTGGATAAATGTTATTGATTTTCTAATAAAATATTTAAAATGATAATCTAAAAATATAATAAACAAAAATATTTATTTTTTTAATCAAAAGTTGTTCTATGGTGTTTTTAGATAGAAAAGAAATACAGATATAGATAATTATAAATAGATTATATATAGATACAGATTAATATAGATTATATGAATTTTATTTTTGATTTTTTTTAGAAAGGCTTTTTGCATTGGAATCAGTAAATATTGCATTTCTTGGCCAATATATATATATATATATATATTTCTAATTCCATGAAAATATTTTTCATGAAAAAAAAAAAAAAACCAAATTTAAGTAGTAAAAATGGCAAATGGATGCAATATATATAATTAAAGCAAAGCAAAAAATTGGGGGTCATTTTCTTAAGACTGTAATTTAGTCTACTATACATATTTACGTTTTTAGCAGCAAAACAATCTGAGACTCCACTTCCACTACCACTATATCAGTCATGCAATTCATACTCATCCATGGCTGCAAGTAACCAATAAATCGAAAGATTATTGCAGCCTTTGATAGCTGCATTGAAATGTTATTTGATCATTCTGTTCATGTCACTCAGCCGTCATCACCAAAATGAGCATATTTGGTTAACATGAACATTGAAAAACCAAGGCCACTATACCACCCGCCGGAAAACGAGTTAAGAAGAGAATTTAAGCCTCGTAAACTTTGCATTCCACGTCAGCTGGGTTTGTCTTGCAGAAATCCTCCAAGGGGTCGGTCACCACTTCCTGCTACAGGCATGCCTGGCCACTTGCTTCCCACCAAGTTTGCCAAATCAATAATCCTTTCGCTGCAAATCACGAATACGAATCACACACACAAATATATATATATATATATATATATATTAATGTACAAATGCAAATGCAAATATATATGAACATTAAAAAACTAGATCAAATGCCACGCTCAACAAATAACCCTCATTTTCGAATCCTTGCTTTAATTAGCTAAGCTGTAACCCCGTTTATTGTCATCCCAGGCCACCACCATGGCCATGGTCAATGAAGAGTCAATGGTGGAAGAAACATCAGAGCACCTAAAGTGCACTGAAACAAGAGGAACATCACACACGTCCAATACGCCCTTCAATGGCGCTGCAGCTGCTTTCTGAAGGCAGCATTCACATCCTCAGCGGTAATACCTTCTTCTCAACAGTCACAGCAAGGTCAACAACTGATACGTTAGGTGTTGGCACACCAAGTGCAATGCCATTGAGCTTGCCCTTGAGCTGAGGCAGCACAAGAGAGACAGCCTTGGCAGCACCTGTGCTTGTTGATAACAATGTTCAATGCTGCAGCCCTGGCTCTTCTCAAGTCACAGTATGAAGCATCCAAGAGCCTCTGGACAATCACAATCAACAGTTTTAGTTTTCTTCTTTGCTCAAGCAATTAATTTTGGCATGTGATCCATCATAAAAGCCTAATTGTTGAGAATATGCAACTTCTGAGTTCATCGGTAGAGTTATTGGTTAACTAATATGATTAACTGGTCACCGGTGTAAGAGTGGGTGGTGGTCATTGTACCCTTGACAATGCCTGCGAATTAGTTTTGGTAACGTCGAAGAAAATTAGAAAATTTTTAACTGTGATGACAGGCAATTAGCCTAAACAACTAAAAAAATGATATATGAAAATGAACAATGCTTACCAAACTCTTCATCCATGACTTTCACAAAAGAAGCCACGCGATTTGTGGTGCATGAAGCATTGCTGCAAGTACAAAAAAAATAGCAATCAAACCTAAAGCACTAGATCAATAAAGAAATGGAAAAGGACTATCATGACTGATTTATTGCAGGAATCAGTCATAGCAGGCAAGTTTTTATTCAGAACTCACCTTATGATGTTTGAGATCTCATGGTCACAATCCCCTTCATTGACTCCAACAACATAGGTTGGAATGTCTGCACCTTTAGCTGGAGCGGTTAAGGTAACTTTCTTGGCACCAGCTTGTATGTGCTTTCCAGCACCAGAGCCATCTACAAAAAGACTCCTGTTCCCTGCAAAATGCAATTATTCAATCATCATTAGTACTCATGTTCCCTGTAAAGTGGTATACTAGATGAAAGGAGAGGTATAAATTGTATGATATCTCCATGCTTTGAAATTCTTTATGGTCAGGATACCAATCTTTCCCTGGAGGCCAAAATCTCTGGGCGATAGTTCAAGTACCTGCCTCGATAACAATGTCAATGCCAAGTCCAGCCCAAGGAAGCCTGAGAGGGTCCCTGTTAGAGACGACCTTGATGGACTTACCATCAAAACTTATGGTTTCATTGTCAACTATTTTCACATCAGCTTTGAAAGTTCCCAGCATTGAATCATATTTCAGCAAGTGCGAAGCCTGTGTGTTGTATATACTAGTTAGTAAATGAAACTAACCAAACCTCAAGGTTAACTCTTAAAAAGCATTGCAAGTTTCATTTAGTTACATTCTTGACACCAACACTGTCATTTATGACAACCACGTCGAGAGGTGAGTTCTCCCTGCCATGCCAGCATCGCAGGAAGTTCCTGCCAAGGCATCCGAATCCATTGATTGCAACCTTCAATTAGGCAACTGTTTCTCCCCTAATAGGACTTGGTCCTACATTCAAAATTTCAAAACAGTTTCAAGGTCAGTACCATATAGGCCAATAGTACTTAAGAATGAGGTGCTTCGCACAAAAATAGAATAAATATATGATCATTTTAGTTTTTCTGTTGAATGTTTAAAATCTAGAACGCATTACGTGAGATTTTAGCTGGAAAAATAGAATAAATATATACATTTTAGTAATGCTGAACTACGTACCCAAGCTTATTGTTGAAAACGTTTTAGCTGGAAAAATTGTTTTTTCATTTTATGCGGCCTAGACCTGGAGACCTGATGATATTGGAGAAAGAATTAACTTGGCAAATTATTGGGTGAAGCATCAGTTCTAACTTCGTACTAGGCCGTATCAAAGCTTCAGCACGGTAAGACTACCAAGAGCCTATATATGGACCCATGAATCCATAGCTGCTTTATAACGTTGAATATTGTCCAATGGAACATCGATTTGCTGATGAAATTAAGATTTATCAAGGTATTGCACGTAATGCGTTCTTGACTTTAAACATTCAAAAGAGAAAGGCCTCAGGCTTAATGGGTCTAGGACACCAGATTTTTACAAGCAATTTTCTGGCTATGAAGAGATCATTTTGGATTGTGATGAAGATTCTGAAGATATTAATATGTCATTTAACGTTTGAAGGGTAGTTAAATATTTTGAGGCTAATAATAAGACAAATGAAACCCCACGTGGTTCTTATCGAGCACAACTTGGCGACTGCATTTCTCCATTTTCCTTTCGACATGCATGAGAGAGAGAGAGAGAGAGAGAGAGAGGAACATCTTATTTCCAAACAAAGAGATTGGAGATGAGAATGATTTGAACTTTAAATTCAAAATAGTAAGAACTTTTAACAGCTGCCAGGCCTGAGCAAGGCAGCCAGACTAAAATGATAGGGATGAAGAACCAGTGGCATTGGACTAAGATGGAAGAGGGCAAATTCATTCATTTGTTCTCTTCATGAGTGAACTTTTTGTCACATTTCACTGTAACCAATGTAAAATTTTTCCAAAACACCAAATGATGCATTAATTGCAGGAGATATTCATAGGAAGATATTTATTTGAAGTAAGATTGTTCCAAGTAGTAGCAAATTAAGTTTTAGAAAACCAACTTTTACAACTTATGAATAGCAAGGCAATTCAACAGGCAGCTTCAATTTCATCAGCGTTCACAGCAACTCCATTTGGGGCATCTTCAGATCGAAGCTGACCAGAAAAATCATCAATAGCAGAGTTCAGCTGAGCAATCTTCTCAGTCAGTATTTTCCGTTTTTTCTGCAGAACAAAGGCCACTTATTATCACTATGCTTTAAAAACCATAAACTTTAAAGAACACATGTTTAATACATAAATGCTGGTGCTTTAATTTTGAAGCACACAATATACATGCGATTCCATATTCCTTAGAAGGCAATAATTTTGAAAAAAAGAAAAAACAAAGCGCTCACCTCCAAAGCTTTTTCTTCATCATATATGAATTTAGGCAGTCTCTTCATTAGATCCTTTCTATCAGCTCCATCTAGTGCCTTGCTGATCTATAGAAGGCAAACAGGAAAAGAAATTTAGTAGCCCAAATTGACCACCAAATAAGTCAAGAAAATGAATACTACAGATAGACAAAAAGCCGAACAGATAACAGTTCCCACAGTTCTAGACTATAGGTTTTAATAATTTAAAAGAGAAAAATCAGGAATGATAAAGTTACTTAAGACTGGAACCATAGATGTAGCGTGTAACCCATTGATAAATATATGGGGGCATTTTAATTGTTCAAAATAACAAATATACATAACAGAGAACCAAGGAGATATTTTAGTGCAATTTTGCATCCATTTGAAAAGCTAATATCACCTGAGGAGCAAATACACTTCCAAGTGCACCAACCACGAGTCCTCCCAAAATAAAACCTCCAACAAAGATGCTTGCACTGCTTGGCCTTCTACCATCACTAAAAACACAAGAAGCAGAGTACTTCCACTGAGTACTTAGGTTTGCAACAGAACACCCAAAAACAACATAGAAGAGGGAACTGGAATACACACAGAGACACAAACTTAAGCATTTAGTTGATAGTGCTTTTGTCAGTAGCTCCCACTTAAAGGATAATGTATACATGCTATCATGCATTCTTATGCTCCAAATTGTGTGAAAGATGATACCTGTACGAAGCTTGAACTCTGAGTGGCCTTCTAAAGGTAGAAAGATACAGTTTTCCTAAACTTTTAGAATTGATTGACAAGTTTGTGGGGCTGGCAGTCCCAAAGCTTTGATCTGCTGGCTTTAGATGAGAGCCTAGCAAAAAAATTTTGACAGAGAAGGCAATGAACAGTCTTTTGAAACTTTTAAAACCAAACAGATGGTTCATTTGCAAATTTACAAAATACAGCTTTGGTGTAGACGTGTTATATAAAGTAGAATTAATGTTAGCTTCTTTTTGTGTTTGTGTACAACAAAGAGCAACGATAAACAATCTTATAATTTGAAAGGATGGACATGAACATGATGATGATGCCATGATCTAACAAATTCTGAAATTCAAATTAATGTTAAATCCAAATTCTTGCGGTAAAAGATCTAAATTGCTGGACTAAAACGAAAAAATATGACCATCAATTCTAACAGTTGATTCCCCAACCAAGGTACTTTTAGAAAATCCTATTGGCATCTCTCTTTCATCTTTAGCTGACAGCACTTAGTCAATTATTTCCCTAGGGTGTAAAGACACGCCAAGTAAAAAATTCTGACAAAAATGCTAAGAAATATAAGAAATTGAATTACAAACAATTTTTATTGATATAAGTGAGTGGCAAGTGGCAATCTAAAGTTGTCCTCATTGAAGAACTTTTGAGAACAAAAGGTACTCTGACAAAGTAAAACAGACAATCATAATAAGATATAGAAAAAAGAAAACTTATTGCAGGCCATGATTGACCTTACTATTAACAAAATCTCAAGCTTTCACAGACAAGTAAGACCAACCGCTAAAGAATATGCAGGACTCCAATGCTATTAGCCAATTACTTTGGAGTCAACATCCTACAGGGCCTTATTATACGACCCACCCACAGCTTCAATATTGAAAAATGAATCAAAGTCCAGGGTGAAAGAAGTAGAGTTTAGGGCAGTCAATATAAAGACAGGGTCTTGAAAGATGAAATCCATCAAATTCAAGCCGATCGCCGCTAAAAAGTTTCAGCTATGGCTTAAGCAAGAAAAAAAGAGGAGATTATTATGCATTAGAACCCAAAAGTTGAATCTTGTTCCATTCAAAAGAGAAAAAAAAAAGAGTTCAATCGTATTAATTACAATGAATTAACAGAAAAAAAAAAAAAAAAAAAAGAAGGCTCAAGAAACGAAATGAGAAAAGGAATTATTACCAGAAGATAGTTGGGTTGGAGGATTTGACGGTAAAACCAAAGGGTTTGAAAGGATAGTCATTTTGTAAAGAGTGGGAAATACAATGCAAAAAATGGAAGGAAACAGTTGAGTTCTGAGTTCTGATATATATATATATATATATATATATATAAATTAATTAGTATTAAATTTCATCATGGGTCAGCTGCTAAATTTTCATGCCCTTGAGTTATGCCCTCTCTCTTGTTGAGCCAGGCCTTAGCATTTTAGTTCCAGGCCCAATTTGTTTATATAAAAAAGAAATATATATTTTATAAAATGTTACACTCCCAATTTATTTATAAAATATATATATATTTTATACTCTGCTAAAAGCTTGTCTTCTTCAAGTCTACGCTACATTAATTACTATAGTAAGTCCATTTTGAACCAAAATACGAGTAATAATAATTCAATTAAGCTCATCACCTATTAAGTTTAATCAAAATTGCTATATATATATATATTAGTAAAACATAATAATAGCATTATTTAGCCGGCAGCATAAACATTAGCAACCAAAATTAAAAAAAAAAAAAAAAAGGATTTCTAATAAAAGAAAAAGAAAATCGTCCGACACATCAGTCCTCTTTTCTTCTACTCTTCTTCTCCTTCTCCTTCATCGAGGCCTCTTTAATCGATGCTTTCCACTCTACAAGCTCTAAAACCTTAAACCAACTCTACGGGTCATCTCAAAACCCGTTTACTACTACCGTCTCAAAACTGAACCTTTTCTTTCTTTTTTTTTTTTTTTTTTTCTTTTTGAGTTAATCGGGTACAAAGATTCTGATGCCAAAAAGAATAAAAAATAATTAAAAAAAAAACCACACCAGTTGTGAAGCAAACCGCTTTGACATTTTGATTTCAAACGTGGGTTTTGTCAAATGTAGTGCTTGTTTGGACTGGTGAATAAGGAGTTCAGAGCAGTTGTTTGAGAATGGTGAGGCGTCATGGATGGCAACTGCCTGCTCACACATTTCAGGTTCTTTTTTCTTCTTTTAGTATTTCTTTCCAAAATGTAGCCTTTTTGGTGACTTTTGGATTATAGCTATTGGGGTCTTTGCTTGTTAGGTTATCTACATTAATTATTTTGACATTTTTTTTCATTTATTGTGTGTGTTTTTACTCTTATTTATGTTCCATCTTTGTCTTTACCAATGAGTAGGTTTTCCTAATCTGTTTTGCATTTTATTATGTCTTGCTTTACTTTGGAATTACCAAAGAAATTCAAAACAAGTTGAGATCTTAACCCTAATTTCATAATTTTTAGAGTAAAAAAATACTATTAGATTATGTGGAAATTTTTATATGCTGATAAGGTTGGAATTGTGGTTTATAAAGTCATTATCATTCATTTCCTTGGTTGACAAGTTATTGGCATGGCAAAAAAATGCCTACTTGTGATGAGCATGTAAAATAATTATTATGATTACCCATAAAATAAAGCAGAATCGAAACCAAGTCATGACTTTAGAAGAGAATCTTAATAGTCTATGAAGCCATATATGGTAGACTTGATGTTAAAATTAGCAAATCACGTATTGTTGGTTCATGTTCCTGCAAGCTCCAGCCTCTAAGAGGATTCATGGGATAAATTTCTGGCATTTGTATTATTTCAACAACCACTTGTTACCATTTTGTTGTTGTTTGTTTTTTAAACTTTGGACAGGTTGTGGCTATTACCGTTTTCTTTTTGCTATCTGTTGCATATTATGCCTTCTTTGCTCCCTTTCTTGGAAAAGATATCTATGAATATGTGGCTATTGGTGTCTACTCTATCATGGTAAGAACAATAACCTTTTTATTTATTTTTACCGAAGCCTTTAAAACTTCTTTAGTTGCTTTCTTAGTTATCATCTTCATGCTTGATTTTTATTTTCAGGCGCTCTCAGTTCTCATTCTTTACGTTCGATGCACAGCTATTGATCCTTCTGATCCTGGAATTCTCCTTGAAGTTGATAAGACATCAGCTTATAAATCACATAATGAAATGGATCTGCCTGGTAACTTTTTCCGTTGCTGTATGGTTTTGTTATTAGATTGCATGATAATTATGAAGCTAATCAGTTGATAGTTAGAATAGTCACGTGAGAATTTTCATATGGCTGCCTCTATTAAGAAATGAGCTTCTTTGTAGGTCTTTGTTCTACTCAATTTATCATAGATTTCATGCTGTTTAACCAGGGAATGCATCTTCTACTGAAGAGCCTAGCAAGATAGGAATCATAGGACTAAAGTATGGAAGACAATCTGATAGGCATGGTTCAAGATGGTGTTCCAAACTTGGAGGTTTCTTTTGTGCTTGTCTTGTTAGTGAAGATTGCCGCAAAGATGAAGACCTTTTGCGGCAACAAGCTGGAGAAGAAGATGCTTTATTCTGCACATTGTGTAATGCAGAGGTAAGGTTAATAGTAGCAGCATAGTCCTCTCTCCCCACCCCTGTGCCCCCAATAAAGAAAACCTTTTTCTTTGTTTCCTCTCACTCTCTCCTCTCTTTTCACTGAAATACAATAAATAAGTTAGCAAAGCAAAGAAACTTTTATCAAAATTAGCAACAGAAAAACTTAGAACACCGCAATATCTTGTTTGACTGTTAGCTTAAACATGTGCATTAGTGCTTTTACCTATGTGCATTTCAGACACCAAAAAAAGGTGTCTTGACATCGCTTTATCTTCTTAGATGATGAAAAGACATAACCTTTCATGCTCTACTCATTTAGTTGTAACCTCCTTAGACACCTTAGAAACACACCTATCCGATGCATGCAAGAAATATCTATATGGTTGTATTCATGCTAGTTGCTAAGAGTTGCTACATTTCTGAAACAACTGGCTAGCACATATTTTGGCTGTTTCTGAATGAAGCTTGTTTCCGATTGCATGGTGTTGATTAATAATAACTCTCCCCCTGCCCTTTTTGCAGGTGCGCAAATTCAGCAAGCATTGCAGAAGTTGTGAAAAATGTGTTGATGGATTTGATCATCATTGTCGAGTGAGTTATAAAATGTTCATTTTTGTCACTTTCCAAATTTCCCAGCTGAATTTCTTGGTTTTTGAGAACTATTAAGGAATTGCATAGCTACAACTTGTAAGTTATGTAACTGGACTGAAAATCACCTAGGACTTCTGTTGACTAAGTAATGAATCGTATTGCCTGGGTATTACTTAACTGATTTAGATCTTCATCTAATATTAGCCATCCCTAAACTGTTTTACCATTTTTATCCAGTGGTTGAATAATTGTGTGGGAAGGAAAAATTACATCACTTTTGTGTGCTTGATGGCAGCTAGCCTTGTTTGGGTAAGTTCTTAGGATAGCTTTTTGATAATGGTTCATTTCACTCATTTGTGTCTCCTGACAAGAACTGAGCTTATTCTCATGTGCCTGCATGTATATGTGTATGTGGTTGTCAGCTTATTGTTGAATTTGGAGTTGGCATTGCTGTCCTTGTTCGATGCTTTGTTGATAGAAAAGGTACAGAAAGTGAGATAACCGAGAAGCTTGGAGTTGGATTCTCCCGCCCCCCCTTTGCTACTGTGGTGGTATGTTTTCTGCATTCTCTGCCTAACAGTTCATATTATTCCTGAAGTATTGTGATTCTTGTGACAGAATAGCCAGGTTTGATTAGGAAGATGTAGCATTGTTGATTTCATCTATTCCCCTAATGAAAGATGCTTGATCATAGAATGTTTGCATGAATTTTTTTTTCTTGGTAAATAACCCTGCTGCTTCTTTATTTGTAAGAAACATCGCAAAGATGCCAGACAAATATATAGCATTACAATCTATTTTGCAATATCTAGAGAGTGAATTTTGACGTAAACCTCAGATTCTCTTGGTATTGAGAAGCAAAAGCTTCCTAGTTCTAAAGAGCGAATCATTGCGGTTGGTGTTTCAAAATGTTTTGTTAAATGCTTCCAGTTTCTCAGAGGTTAAGTTGAAATACATTACTGCTAGTGTTCACTTCTCTAAGAATGAACATAAACCTGGTTGCCATGGATTTTGCCCTAACACTTTTAAACAAATGATTACAGGCCCTCTGCACAGCTGTTTCTTTTCTTGCCACTGTGCCCCTGGGAGAACTATTCTTTTTCCATATAATTTTGATTCGGAAGGTGTTTCCCTTAAATCTCTCTCTCTCAGTCTGTCATAATATGTAAATATTGACTCATTGTTGTCTCTAACTGCAGGATATCACAACATATGAATATGTTGTTGCAATGAGAACACAAAGTGAACCACCTGGACAGTCTGCTGATGGTGGAGATCAGCAGAGTATGCCATCGTCACCTACCAGTTCAGCTCTGACTGCGATAAGTGGAAGAAGCTCTCTTGGAATGAGCTTGCAATACAAAGGCGCTTGGTGTACCCCACCAAGAATCTTCATGGACCACCAGGTACCACTGCTTTATTTACTAGACATGAAGACTCGATCATTTTATGTTGGAGATGAGGTGGATTTAGTTAAGTTGCTATAACTGTTATATGGTGATGGTGTAGGCCATCAAAAATAAATAATGAAGGTGGTATGAATTTAAATCTATTAATTCTTCAATTATCACTGAGATTTCATGATAGTTGCTTCTGCAGTTTGCTTTGTCCGGAGAAACCTGTTTTGCAGACATGCATTACTACCCATATCTTCTGTTAATTTAAAAATAAAAAAGCTGAAGTAATCTTATTTGCAACATAAATTTTCTGTTGAAAATAATAAATCACTCAGTATCTTTTTCTGTTGGGTGCTTCTTGTTCTTCTATCTCTATATTTTCTAATACTAGCAACTGAATATACTCTTTGTCATTAACTTTTGGTTTCAATTTGTAATTTAGAAAGAGTAATCACCACTTGCATAGACAAATTGTGACTATAAATATGAACTTAAAACTCTAGTTGTTGTTATTATTATAAAGGAACGACATCTTAAGTATGGGTACATGCACTCTTACGGTGATCACCTGTCATGGATTTTCTGTTAGATGTTTAAACTGATTATTTATTTTCTCTCAAAGGATGAAATCATCCCACATTTGGAGCCAGGGCGCTTACCATCTACAGTAGATCCGGATGTGGTACCGCCACCAGACAAGGAAAAAAGATTACCCAAACGCCCAGTCAGAATTAGTGCATGGTCACTTGCAAAATTGGATTCCAATGAGGCGGTTAAAGCAGCTGCCAAAGCTAGAGCTACTTCATCTGTTCTTCATCCAATAGGCTCTCAACCTCATTCATACAATGTTGATCAACTATCTAGTAATAATGTGAGTGGAAGAAGCAGTCCCATCAGTACTGATCATGGGTTTCAGAGTAAAAATGCTAGAGCGGCATTGAGCTCATATCCTTCAAGTTGTGCTAACAGAGAAGATGCAAAATCATGTGGCCACAGTGTTGGCAACATCAGCAGTCCTTATCTTTCCAGCATAACCCCCTCTACAATGGCACAGCAAGATTCAAATAGAGAGCATTTCAACCCCTTGTACCAAATGTCAGCCAATCAATCTCCTTGCTCAACTAAACAAAGTGAAGGGAATGAAAATGCTGCTGAATATCCTTTCAGAAAAAATTCTAGTGCTACAGAAAGCTCGAGAACTTCAGTTTTTTGGGATCCAGAAGCTGGGCGCTTTGTGTCTTCCTCTTCCAGAAATGCTGGTTCTTTGCAGGTTCCTGGAACAGAGCTTTTATATAGTGGCCAATCGATATTTTTTGGTGGTCCTCTTATGAATGAGCACCTTAGCAGAGGAACAAGGAGTAGTGGTTCATTGTCTGTTGGCTTGGATAGAGGTTCTACATCGAGTCATTATCAGCAGGGAAGATCACAGAGAGGTAGCCAGCTACCTGTGTTTGTTCCTAGTGATTGCCAACAAAAGCAATTTTCATCTAGGTTGCCTTGAGCACCAAAATAGGGGACAGTAATTTGGTTTCTGAGATAGATAGCTCGTTTTAGAAGCTAAAATTTCACTTGATTTGGATTACTTTCTTGTGCAGCTTGTGGATATCTGGTGCATGCAGGGCTTAGGTACCAAGCTTTAAAGCAATTTAGTTGTCAATCCGATCAAAGTGATCGTAATTTGGTTTACAAAATCAAACAGTTACTTGGGAAGGGGCATGACCTCGTTATCCAAAGAGTTTTCACTGTTGTTAGTTACCATTTGATTATAGGATTTTTAATTTCATTTTTTGATGACGATAATCAGAATGTACAAGACAATATATAGACTAGCTTTCAACTCACTGGTGATCTTTTAGTTTACATCTTATGGTCTTTTGTGTTAATTTTGCTGTTCTCTCCCAACTCCAGGAAACTAGTACTGGGATAATATATATAAACTGATCAGCAGTTGATGAAGTTGAGTTAGTAGATTCATTTCGGAAGGAACGGAATGTAGACGTCCTCATTCTTCTAACCATCATCATCATAAAATGTTTGGTCCTGCTTTTTGGGCTCTCAAATCTCAATCTTCTTCGACTCGTTTACACTACTTCCCCTTTTCCTTTCCCCTAAATATGCTATGTGGATTGTAATGCAACCCCACTTGAAGTTATCAATATATATTTTGCTCAAGTCCAACAGATATGATCAGTCACGCTTCTTTGTGCGCGTGGGCCAGTTGCTTAACGGTTAGCAGGGACTCGGCCAGACTTAGCCTTAGCCTTAGCCTTAGAGGCAATGATTATCGGTTAAGGGTATCAAGGTAATTTGGTAGGTGGAAATGGATAGAGGTGGGGTTCTAACGACCCTAAGCTTTTTCAACTGCAACGGGAGTGAGTCATGGCATCAGTTAGAATTCTACAGATATGGAACCCTGATTATCATAGAATCTGCTCAAAATGCACTGCTGCAAATCAAACGCAAAACACAAAGCAACTTGTTTTATCAATACCCATTTCGAGAAGGTGTGCAATATTAGTCTCTTCAGTGCCTTTCAGTCTCATTTCCCTGCCCCATTTCTCAGAGGCTAGAGAGAGACGCAACAAGAAGACCATCCCCATTGAAGACTATCTCTCTACCCGTTAGTTGCTCCAATATTCCTTCTCCTTTAGCTTCTCATCGTTTATGCAATTTATGCATGTGTTGTGGGTGTCGAATTCTTTTGCTTTCTTCAACATATCTCATTTTTGCCATAATCTGGTAGCATATTATTGTTACCAATAATTTCTGGTATCAAAATTTTTTCAGTACTAATTTCAGTCAATAAATATCAGGCATGATTATGTAAATTTGGCCTATTGCTAATGCTGCACAACTGGTAAGAAGAGACATTGAAACTTGGTCTTGATGAGCATTTGAAAATAACTGTCCGTTTGCTTTATTTTGTTGAATCAAACAGCTGAGGGATTGAAATACTATGATGTTGTCGAAGGGAAGGGTCCAATGGCAGAAAGAGGATCAACTGTAAAGGTCTATTTGTAAATGAATACGTTCTATTCCATTTCATGGATTCATATTTACCCTCTTCACTGGCTTTTTGTCTGCTTTCAGGTGCACTTTGACTGCATATATCGTGGAATTACAGTTGTTTCAAGTCGAGAGTCTAAACTTTTAGCTGGGAATCGTATAATTGCCCAGGTTATATCTTGTTATAAAACATGTGTTTTGGAGCAGGGGTAGCCCTAAGGACTAGTTTTCTTTCTCCAATCAAAACAAGTAGCATTTTGTCCCAGAAATGTCAAGAATTCCTAACGAAAATATGATATTCTAACACTCATTGTGTCATCTTTTAATCAGCCATATGAATTCAAGGTTGGAACTACTCCAGGGAAAGAAAGGAAACGAGAGTTTGTAGACAACCCAAATGGTTTGTTTTCTGCACAAGCTGCACCAAAACCCCCACCAGCTATGTACTCAGTAACAGAAGGAATGAAAGTGGGAGGAAAGGTTAATTAATGCATCCTCCTTTTCTCCTTATTCGTTTGGCTTTATAACTTCTCTAATCTCCACTCCCGTTGGAACCTTTCCTTCTTTTCGTCTTATCATCCCAGTCTTTATTCATTTCTGCAAGCCTCCTGTTGATCTTCTGGTTTTTCTTTCCAGAGGACTGTCATTGTTCCTCCAGAGGCTGGCTATGGCCAGAAAGGAATGAATGAGATCCCGGTAAGGTCCTTCATCTGTATCTTAACATATGTAGCTTCCTCAGTGGCTGTCGTTATTGGTGAAGCTATAGCATTTCTATATCCATGATTGACGGATTTCTATTCTTAATTTGGGATTACTGTGTCTTCAAATATGATAGTTTTAGACGATAATAAAAAAGGAAAAAAAAAACTTTAACACTAGAGTAGTTAAAAAAAAAAAAAGCAGATTGTTGTGAATCCTGCCTTATTCAGCAGTATATATATTTTCCTTTAGCTAACAAAACCTATGTCCTCATTTGAGTCATTCAATATCTTCTGTCTGCAGGCAGGAGCCTCATTCGAGCTAAATATTGAGCTTTTGCAAGTGATGCCACCCGAAGAAAAGTAAAGCCTACTCTGCATTGATCAATATATCGTGGCAAACCGCAAATTCACTAGTACATTCTTTTGAAAATAGCACCTGAGGAGCGGGGCAGTGAAAGTGGCCTTCAACATTCCAGTTGCTCCACTCTTGGTCTCTCGCCGTCTGAACTGAGATTGTCCTTGTAATTTACATTCCCTATATATCTTAAACAAGGTTTTGCTTTGCTTTGCTTTGGGTATAGACTATACACCTGTTTATTTTGATGCCCTCTCAGGACGTTAATATAAATCCTATGTCAAATATCAACGAAGAAGAGCGTAAAAAAAAACAAAAAAACCAAAAACAGTGACCCAGTAGTGACTAGAAAGCTGACTTAAAAATGGTTAACTGGGAGCCCAATCATCCCGGCTAGAGAGATGGATCGAGGTTCTGAGAGCATGGCTGTTAATAAGTTATGCTAATTGATTTCAGCAAACCAATATTGTACGGACCAATGGCCTAAGTTCGGTACTTAAATAGCTAGACTTTTTAATTTCAGTAATTTGGGCAGAGAATTAAGTATTCAATCTAGAACTGTGTGTAAAAAGCCTTACAGATTGAGGAAGAAGAAAAAAACGATTAACATAAAACAAAACAAGAAGGGTAAACTCATCTATAAATCCTTGAACAAAATTCTGACCCAGCATTACCATTGCAAGGCCATTAAAGTGGGAGCTGAAGTCTACAGTTTGGACCAAACTATTATGCCTACTTTATATTTCATCAATGAAGTCAAGAAGATCATCGACTTCCAGCCTCAAAGCTATAAGTTTCTGTCGCTGCAAAGCCACCCGATTCTCAATATCCCGGGCCCCAGACTTCTTCTCATAGCCGTCAACCACTGTAGAGTGCTTCACCATCACCTTTTCTTGCAATTCTCTCTCCTTAGCCACCAGCTCCTCCACCTATACAGACATCAAAAAGAAATCACTAATAGTAACAGTCTCTAAAATGCAAAATAAAAATTGACATAGTATAAATGCTACTGACATTCAGCGCAAACAGAATATTTCAGTCATGCACAGTCAAGTTACAATAAAAATACGGTTACATATCAAGGCTTAACAAACTTTATCAAAATAAGATGTTGCAACAAGTGACAAATCTAAAAGACAACAAAACCATATCAAATTGATCCAGAAAATGTTGAGCATTTAACACAAATAAGTAGAAGACAGGTGAACCTTGGGGAATACTTGAGCAGCTGATGGAGAAGATTGCAAAATGGTCAGCAAGGGTTTCAATTCTTTTGACAGCTCTTTTAACAAACCATCAGCTGCTTTTCGAGTAGCTTTACAAGTTTGAATGTCCCCCGTCCTAGAAAGATCACGTAGTGATGCTTCCAGCTTATCGTGTGTTGTCAAGCATTGATTGGCTTATGACATTCTGAACCTGCTGAATCGCTGCCTGAACCTGAAATTAAGGAAAGCAAAGTCTATAACCAATGCACTTGTACATGATGAGGGGTGAGCCAAGTAAATGGCATAGTAACATCCTACTAACCTCTTGCAACTTCTGTGTAGCCAAATAAGAAGCAGAAGTCTTGGAGATTGATATGTCAGCATGCATATAAACAATGCAAGCAACAAAAAGGAAAAAAAATCCTGAAATTAACATCAGCGGCTCTCTAAGCATTGATAGTTTGTTGAACTTGTAATAGACCTGAAAGGTAAACAAACAACAAACCGTTAAAGTACATAACCCTGTAAATATAGGGTTTCGATATATCCTAATATCCAATTTTCTACTTTTGGAGGTACCAGAGTAGAGGCCTTACACTAATATGCTAGAACCAGTGTGCATGACATTCAGGTTGAAAATAGACAAAGAAAGAATACCTGAAAATATTGATTGTGCTCCGGCACAACATTAGTCTTTTCCAGCACAACTAGTGGTCTACCATCAATATCCAAGTGTGAGATTTTGGTCTGTCTGCAACCATAAGCACATTATATATAAAAGACCACAGCTTTCAGATTCAAAATTCAATACAAACAGGACCCTATATTATAAAACATATGGTCAAATAGAAATAGAAATCTTAAGCCTTCTAATACCTCTTGCCGCTGCTTCACTGGAAATGTAGCTGCTAAATATGTCTCACTAGAACCCTCAAGCAACACAACCTATAAATCAAATCAAAGTACTGGGTCAAGGTAAGGCTGCAAGGAAAACAACTTTCTTGTATTCACCAGACTGCAATTTCTATATCACACAGCACATATCTTAATTCTAAATATCATAATAATACAGCAGCATAAGTGCCCCCTTTGAGTACTTAGTGGAAGACATGTTTTAGGCAAGATTGTGAAGGAAACTCCCCATCATTCTGAGGCCTAGAAAAAGATATTTAAAACAGAGTAATGACGTATTACCAACCTTCACAATGAGAGTATCAATAACCAACTCAACCATCGGGCTACTAAAAGTGATGTTAAGAAAGCGTTTCCCCTCTGATTCATACAAAAAGTCCTGAAGTGGCAAGCCATATCCAATGGTAAAAGCAGTTCTCCAGCCACCAAACATGGGGTACCTTGGTTCAATCAATAGTTCTGTCTGCAAAGACAAATAGCACTTCAATAAGAATAAAATATCAAATGATAGATACTCTTTAAATCCTAATCTGCAAGACAAACTTTTTGGAGTCACCCCACAGATGAGATGTTGATATATTGCCAATTTCATCCCTGTAATAAACAGAATGCGCCATTGGTGGCAAATTTGCAACAAGATACCTAATGGCTGATGCGCCTCGAATATTTGGTCTGGCCTGGAAATCAAGCCTGTAGCGTCAAGGTAATAAGTCAGAAACAAACTTCCAACCAGGTGTGTCACTCAACATAATCCATAAAGAGGAAAAGATTTTAAGTAATCTAGAAAATTCACCCTTGCTTTGGGTACCACCATGGATGAGCCTGTAATGCTCGGTGACCTGCACATTGCCCCAATGGGAAATTTCTATCTCTCTCACCAATTCCAGAGCAACAGCAAAGGGTTGATTGCTTTCAAAATGAACTACTATGGGTGAGTGCGAGAATGCAGGTAGATTCTCATAAGGACCATATTTGATTTCTGAACCATGAATCTTTGTATTCTCCAGTTTTGTATAGGATTCAGTTCTAGAATCAGGCAATTTAACAGTTAGAGACTGGACCTTGACAGCATAAGGAGATAGATAGTATGCGCTTTCCTGGTATACTACAAGCTGAATATCAGCCTGAGTGATTTGCTCAGGAATGAGTCGCAAGGCATGGGTAAATACAACCAAGACATCGAAAGTGAAGCTATCACCCTCAGCTAATCCCTTAGGCAATGATACTGAATAGAATGTTAAAGCAGGAGGCATGTCTTTTGGGTTGGTGGCCTGAACAGGGAGAGCAGCAACAGAGTTTTTGATTTTCCCTTTCCCTTCATGTGGGGTAGCTATCAAATATGCCATATTTTTGGCTTGAAGATCAGGAAAAGCCAGCAAAACCTCGGACACCGTCTCAGGACCTGCATTCTCCACCTAGAAACAATACAACAGCACATGTGCGAGAAGCAGAATTCAAGAACAAAAAAGGAGTTCCATTGAAGAATATAATAAAAAAGAGAGTGAAAAGAAAAGTGAGTATTACTGAAGCACCTTTAAAGTTGAAGAAATCCGAACAATGTGTGACGTCAAATGAATCTGCACCACCAAAGGAAACACCGATAGCATAAATATTACAGCTTGCAGCGAGGAAAGAGATACAGCTATCGTAGCATTTCAGAAATGAACTTTCAGATGAATAAAATCTTCAGAAACAGGAAGCAGTGAATGAATCAGAAACAAACTCACAAGTAGTAGTAATAATAATAATAATAATAATATAAACCATAGAAGCCTTGAAATAGAATAAAGGGAAATGAAAATTGAATTGAGAAGATGGAAACTTACGCGTCTATCGACTTTGGAGAGGACCAGATCGGAGAATGCCGGTGATACCAAAATTGCGATTGTAAACACAAGTAAACCAAACCTCGAACTGTCCATTTTCGCAGAATGTGTAGGTCAGCAGAAGCACTTGGTGACTTCACACCTGATTGACTTTCCTTCTGTCGGTCTCCCTCTCTGTGTCTAGGGAGGGAGGGAGGGAGGTTTGGTATTTTGGAGTCTTTTTTCTATACCATTGCTGTTTGCTGGGCCAAGCACTCCTTATAGAACTGGATTTAGGATTAGCCCACCAAAGGGAACATTACGTTAGCCCACAATCATTGCTCTATTCTTTTTAAGAAAAGAATCTAGGGCTTATAAATCAATCGGTTCGGGTTTATCCTCTGTGATATTTTGGTTGGACAAAGGCAGAGTCGCGGAGACTAGAATCTAGATAGATCATACAACTAGAAAGCAAGAAAAAAAAAAAAAAAAGGAAATGGAGACTTCTCTGAGATACAGTGAAGATTCCAAAGCTCTAAGAATCCACGCCAAGGAGAAGTTCCCCATCGATTCCAAAACTCATTTGCAGGTATGCTTCTCAAAGCTTTTCTACTTTTCTACTTTGATTGCTCTTTCAATTTCTCTCCGTCTTTCTAACTTCTATTCCTGAGGTATGCGGGATTTTATTACTAGACTTAGATGATTCAAGTTTTAAACTTCACTGTTCATCCGGCTTTTTATGGATCATTTCTTTGACTTCTGTTCCATGTAATGCCTTATTGCGTCACAAAGTGCTAGACTTGCTGCATTTTCTGTAGAATAAATCCGTGACACAGCGTACAAAATTTCACCGCTTTTCACAGTTCAATTTTGAGATTTGAGTTGCATGCAAGATATTCCAGATACCCTAATAAGAACTTTTAAGCCAATTCATGCTTTTCTCATTATTACGGGAGAATTCTACATCTTGAATCCATTTTATTTTAGCGAGCTTTGTATCGTAATTGTTAATTTTCTTGCGTCTTCCATATCTATATACAGGTTCAAGGCGAGCTAGACACCAGAACTGGAACCCCGACTAACTTTTGTGCATTGATAAGGCGCTTCTATCCTGATGTATGTTGTCCTCAATAGTTATGCTCTTGTTTCAAGAACACTCTCTTGCAAACTTCAGCTTTTCTTTTCCAACTTATTAACATGGCTGATCATTTTCTGTAGTTACTTACAAGCCTTGGTGTAGGATTGCGCTATGATAAGCGTGATAAGGTGCGGTACACCGTGCGAGGGAAAAAGTCTTTTCTTGTAACCAACAATGGATTGGTAAATTTTGTTGTCAAGGGAAGATATGATGTTGACCAAGAATTCAAGGGGGTTGGTGCTACCTTTAATTTTTCACCAGTGTTTCTTTTTAAATGTGTTTGATATTTGAAGAATGATTCAGCTATTATTTGGTTCGTGTGATTCGTTTTTCCTCAAAAAGTCACTTTAGTATCATGCTCATTAGTACATTTTACATACTTATTTTTTGTTTTTGATTGGAATAGTCCCATCAAGCTTCCTTTAAGGAGAAAACTGTAGTTATTTATATATAGTTCTAGCTTTCCTTTGCTAATAGCAACTATGATGACAGGGGGAGTCAGAAGGAGCTGCTGAATTTACTTTTAGCATATTCAATTTCCAGAGAGACCAAGATGTTAGACTCAAACTTGGCTATGAAGTATTTGAGCAGGTAATTCCTTTTTATGAATGGTATTTGAAGATTGATCTTTGGGAAGGAAATGCATAAATCTTGGTTCTTTCTATTCTTTCTTTTTGTTTAGTGTTGCCTATCATCTATCTTGATCAATTTCATTATGAGTTAGTATTTAATACACTATCAGTGTAAAATTTTAATTACACAAGCAGGGTTAAGAATGTGACACATGTCTCATTTTTTTTAATTAGATTTTTTATTTTTTTAAATATGCCTAAAGGATATGTGTCATCCTCGTAACCCAACTTGTGTAATTAAAATTTTACACTTACAATGTATCAAATACTAACTCCTTGATCATTATTTAAAATTGGGCATGTTTCAGTTTGTTTTTGAGAGAGCCTTAAGAATTCACTAGTCTTACTTCTGGGATTTGGATTGCAGTTTTATTTTCAAGTCATGTTTGCAACATCTTAGTATCGGGCCCAAATGCAACCTTTTAGAGCACTTGGAATCATAGTAAATTGTGTAATCCATTAATCTTTTAATTCTCTAAGATTAACATTTTTTAATTTGATAAACATGCAAATTTTTTTTTGACAATTTGTCTGCCACCAAAATTACTAATTTTGACGGGGAATGCACTCAAATTCAGTACGAGTAACTAGAGCTTTTGAGGCAATTTTTTTTTCAGTACTCTTAATGCTGTCCTCCTAGTAATCTGTGCTTTATATCTTTTCTTCATGTTAACTTCTAAAATTCCTTCATTTACCCTCTTTTTCTTTTTGTCTTGGTGAAAATTCCTCTTTCAGGTTCCATATCTGCAGATTAGGGAAAATAATTGGACCCTTAATGCTGACATGAATGGTCGATGGAACATAAGATTCGATTTGTGAGGATGCACAAGATTGACCTCATTTGGTGGTAGGTTATGAAAGTGCAAAAAACATGTAAAATGTTTTATTTCATTTCTGAAGCGCAGACGGCTGTGTTGAGCTGATTGGTAAAAACCCAATGTCATGGGTCGTTAACGATTTTCTTCCTTTATGGGTTTCTTTTTTTGTCTTCCAGTCAAATCTTTCTGCCTTGCCAAGGTGATTGAATGGGTTTAGAATTTGACAGCACAGGGAAGGTTCCAAAATGACAACCAGATTTGAGTCTCGATACATTTGACTAAAATTCAAAGTAGGGGAATAGATGTTGCAAATTATATGTCCGGGAAGATGGACCAACCTTTTTGTTTAGGAATATGCAAGCAAAAAATTAATACGTGGATGAGGGTAGGGGATGAACGTCAGGTTCAATTGCAAGGAACTGAATAATTGAAGTATCAAACGCAATTAGTATCTATAAACTATGTATATAAAAGGTAGTTAGAGATGATTAGTGGTAAGACAATAAGCCAAGAAGTTCCACTAAGATTGGGCTGGTTGGGTCAAAGAAGGGACGCATTGAAAAGGTAGCGTATCGTGAAGAAAGAGCAGGAGTAAAAAGGGGTAATAACTGGAGACATTCCTCGTGTTTTGAACTGGTGACCGCTAGATGCTGATGATGACTCACGAGTATAATTCCAGTCTGGACTGAAGAAGCCTCAGTCATTCATTCGTTCGTTCCCTCAAGCTCATAAGGTCATGGACACAAATGTGTCTGCGTCTGCCCGATGGAGAAATGCTTCATATATCATTTTACCCAGAATGAGATGATTCAAAACTTTCTTCTACTCCCTACCTAGAGTGCCACGTCTCGACTGACACCCATCCACGTGCAAAACAGTATCTTCAAAAAAAAATTTGATTGGTCAATGAAGGTGAATATCTACATTGTTTCAAAACTGAAAGCATCATTTTCATTTGTATATATATTATTGTGTTGAAAACAAATTTTCTTTTTTTGTTTTTTTTTTTTTTTGAACAATTAATGTAAGTGTATACTATCCATAATGGAAGGTCGAGTCCATTTTGTATAAATAAAAACTTGGATGAATTAATTTTCAATCAAATAAATAAAAAACCGGCCAGAAAAACTGACTTTTCAGGGTAATTCCTGAAATCATTTGTCTTTTTGTGTCCCTTGATTCTGTGCTTATTTACCATCGCTCACTAAAAGCCAAATTATTTAGACGATCAAAACAATCGAATATCGAAACGTACTGCTTTTTCACTCTATTAATGATTATCCTTTTTAACTTCTCGCCATCCCTGGATTAATTCAGGGGCCAGAAAATTTTTTAGAAAGAACAAGAAATACTACATTCTAATGCTTTCCAGCCATGCATGCAAGTAGCAAATTTTTATATACACACACATACTGAATACAAATATTATAATATATATATATATATATATATATAGATATGAAGCTACTACATTTTTATATGAGTACCAAATATAGGGGTCATTCATTGAAAATGAACAGAAAAGGTGGGGTTATAACAATAAATTTAGTGCTAGTAGTAATTAACGTATAAATTAAATAAAATTGAACCCACAAGATTTACTATAAAACCCCACCTAATATCATTACATAGACGGTAACGTTACAACTAACTACAGACAAGACAAACACACACTTGATCCACACTCACTAGGAACACACAACTCACTTCTCTCTCTCTTCACATGACTCGTCCTTTCAGGCTACTAGGCGCCGCCAACTCCTCGGCCACTAGCCAGTCGCCGCCTGAACAAGCGGCAAACGTCGACTCCGACTTCGTCGTAATCCTTGCAGCTCTCCTTTGCGCCCTTATCTGCGTGCTCGGTCTCATCGCTGTCGCACGCTGCGCCTGGCTTCGCCGCCTCTCCGGTGGCTCTGCCTCCGACCCCTCAACTTATTCCCGTCCTACGCCTGGTGCAAACAAAGGCCTCAAGAAGAAGATCCTCAAGTCCCTTCCCAAGGCCACGTTCTCAGCTGATTTCTCCGCGAAATTCTCCGATTGCGCAATTTGCCTGACGGAGTTCGTGGTAGGGGATGAAATCCGATTGCTGCCGCAGTGCGGTCATGGCTTCCACGTCTCCTGCATCGACACGTGGCTGGGGTCCCATTCTTCCTGCCCTTCCTGCCGTCAGATTTTAGTGGTTGCCAGGTGCCAAAAGTGTGGGGGTTTGCCCGGCCCGGCGGCTTCAACTTCTGGAACTGAGACTGAGGCCAGATTGAAGGAGCGTGAAGATGGTGTCAATAGGTTCTTAACCTAGCCAGCGTCTCTGTCTCAGGGTTCCTCAATATTTTCTTTCTTTTCAAAGTTAATTGTTATATATGTTGGGTTAGATTTAATTAGCTAATTACCTCCTGAATTATTACCACTACCAGCATTTAGGTTTGGATTTATTCGAATTTCTTTGCCGTAATACTTGATTTGATTTATGTAGAGTTAAAGCTTATAAGAACAATGATTATATTTCCCCATACACAAACAAAAAGAAGAATGGTTCAAGAATGAAAATTGAGCACCCTTTTTTTGTGTTCCTTTTCATTTGTCATGTCAATATTAATTTTCTGGAACTAAAAACCCAGATGCCAACACCTGAATCATAGCCATGATCATCAACAGATTGCATATTAGTAATTCATAGATACTGTCTGAGCTGATCCAAGCTATTTTCTGAACTTAATGTATGCCCTGATGGTGATATGCTTTACCTTTTTGTTCTTCTCGGACTTTTGGTCTGGTTCTTCACTTTTTTTTTTCTATGGTGAAAGTTTGATTCTACACTTTTAGCAAAAGAAAATGACTAAATTCAGTTCATGAATTTCTTTTGCTGTGATCCTTTCAGGTTAAAGTGTTTTTTTTTTTTTTTTCATGCTCATGCTTTTTTATTGGTTATGTCCATCTAAAATTATGGATGGGACTGGGGCTGGAATTGGTTTTCGGTTCGAAATTTTACATGTATTAGCATAAAGAAAATAAATAAAAAAGTAAAATGGGCCATGGAATTGGTGAAAAAGAAAAGAGACCGTTCAAAATGACAGGAAGGGAGGTCCACTTAAAGTGATGAAGAGGAGAAGAGAATCTAAAGGGAACACCAGTGAAACATGAGTAGCGTTTCGTTTCACTTTCAGCAGCACCTCTGGCGGTGAGAGAGGACGATCCAATCTGAAAGGAAAAGATTTATATATATATATATATATGTATATATTATCTTCTGTAAAATTTTGATTTTTGGCGTACGCTGATAACAGTCGATTAATCTCTTTTGGTTTTATTCACCACTACTTTTATTATACTCCCTGATTAGCTATAAAAATTGTGTTCCTCAATGTCAAAGAAGTGGTTTTTGCCTTTGGGGTTTTTTTGTTCGGTGGACGTGGATGTGGGTGTCGAGGTTCTTATTCCACAAGCACGAAACTTTTTGATTAAAATTGAATAATATTTTAAAATTTAATAAATTTGATTTAAAAAAAAAAAAAAAAAGAATTACACTAATAGATGAATCCCTGTTACATATGTACACACCGAAAGGTGACATTGGATTCGAAAAAATTCATAAATTTTTTTTTTCAAATTTTGATAGTAAGTATTTGATTGATTAGAATAATCTCATTATTAAAGAAAGTGACAAATTTTTAAAAGTAATCTAAGTCTCAGAATCAAAAATACATTTTTTCTTGTAATATTTTAGGATTTCAAAAAAAAATTATCTTATTTTAAAATTTAATCTGAATAAAAAATTATGAAACAATTGTTACTTTTTTGAAAAGTACGTCTAAAATTAACTAGAACTCAATTATAGGTTTTTATATAAAAAAATTTATATATTTTTATATTACAATTAAGGCATTTGACATTAAAAAATGTCTTAAATAATTTTTTTTTATTTTTATAAATGGATCATTTAAGGTGTTTATAAACAAAAAATACTTTAAATAATCATTTTATATTTTAAGATTTAAGATTAATATTTTTATAAAAAGATTATTTAAGGCTTTTGTAAAGAAACACCTTAAATAATCTTTTTGTATTTTAAAAGATAATTATTAAATGGTCTATAATATAAAAAATAAAAAAATCATTTAAGGATTTTTATACAAAAAATACCTTAAATAATTATTTTATATACACAAAAAAAATTATTTAAGACGTTTTTTTACAGAAATATCTTAAATGATCCTTTTATAAATAATTAAAGAACATTTTTTAATTTTTTTCATAATATAAAAAAGTGGCAAATGCATTAATAGATTTTTTTTAACAATTTTTTAATCAATTTTTGTTATTAAAAAAAGTGCTCAAATGCCTATATTTTATAAATAAAAACAACAATCAAATAAAATATTTATCTTCTTTTATTATTTTAGACATCATTTATCATTTGGATATTTACTATTAATAAAACAAAATAAAAAATTATCATCATATATGTCAAAATGATTATGATAATTATATAAGAATTTTGATTATGATAATTATATAAGAATTAATGTATGTGAATTCTTTCAAGCAAACAAATGAATATGAACACGAAATACTTTAAAAATAAAAAAAAAAAATTTAGGATCATATTTTCTCTTGAAATATAATATTTTGCAATCCAAACATCCCAAATCTAAAAAACACCTAAATCATCGGCATTCCTCCTGTTTAACAACTTGGGTTGGATAAAATATTTTAGAACAGAATTTTGTGTTTCATTTCAGCACTTTCTACTTAGTTAGCAATAGGCCAAACCATGCTTTTTTATTGTACTGCATGTCTAAGCTATGCTACATATATATATAATCCAGTAAGATATTAAATTTAAGTTTTATGTGAAGTGGAAAGCCAACTTCCCAGGTCCATTGAGTGCAAGAAATAAACAAAAAAGGAAAGCATTGCTTATTAAATTCCATGATTTAGGGAGAGGGAAGCTTTTGTTTACATCATCATCATTACAAGAGTATGTACTCATTTAGCAACTTGTAATTTACATTTCAAAATGTAAATTAAGACGGGGATGCATAAAGGTTGAATTTATCACACGGACTAGCTCTTATTATTATTGTTATTATTATTATTATTATTATATATATATATAAACGTAATGTGTAATCAACTAATTAACTGTAAATAAAAAAAAAAAAATAAAGAAGTGAGCAAAATTAAAATTAATGTGTTAAGATATCGTTAATTAATATTTGCTTTTAATAATTAATTTCAAACAACCAACCATATCATCTTAGCTATTATTTTGACCTAACAAAACTATCATAAAATTTTGTTTACTGTTAAACCATATGTATTATAATATATTCCTATTTTTTAAATTAAAATTTGAAGCCGTCCATTCCATTAAAATAAGATGAATGGTCCAGTACTAGACTAGGGTACCGGAATAACCAATCACCTGAGAGTCATGCCTCTTTTTTATTTTGATTTTTATTATTTTTTTTATGAAAAGAAAAAAAGCCAAAAATTACATTCCTCGGAGGAGCAAGCAAGAAACAAGATTGGGAGGCTTCGATGGTAAGAAGCACAGTGAGTGATAAACTGAAATGTGAGGACTGGACTGAGGAGTCTACAGCCTGGTGCTGCTGATATCGTTTTTCAGCTGTAATTTTTTCAACAATTCTAACCCTAATTTACTGTTATTATCTACATATATAATCTATAGGAGAATGCTAATACCCCTCCCCTCCCCTCCGCTTTTTTGTTTTTGTTTTTGACAGTATCAAAATTTCTATCTCAAAACATGGCTTCAATTTGGAGTCTCCAATTCCATTCCCTTCATTTCCGGGTACGTAAATTTTCTTCCTACAGATTGCCTTACTTATTCTCTCTTATCGAATTGGGCTTTCTTTTTCGTCAACTGTGTGATAATAGCCTTCTATTTTGGGGTGGAAGCACCGGGTTTCTTCAAATGCAAAGGAGTTGCTACTACACCATAGCCTAAGCCAACGCCTAAATTGGATTCCACTAACTCCTAATAGAAGGTTCTTGCTGAGAGCCATTAATGATTCAGTGAGCCCCGACAAGGACCAGCGTCCCCAAAATGACGTGGTTGATTCCGCAAAACACACTCTGGTGCTAGATTCCAAACACCCACTTGCCACCTTTCAGGAATCCATTACATCTTTCCCTCCCGTTGTTTTCCTGGTAATTTTCACTCTTCTGTATTCAATCTACTAAAAAAAATTGATAATTTTTCTTCGTTACTAAGCAGGTTTAGGGTTCATTTTACATTTGAGGTGCTGAAATGTAATTAGCTAATTACTTATATATATTATATATCGAATCTACGTAAGTTTTACTTGAAACCATTACTGCTTATATAGACTTTTTTTTAACTTTGGCTCCTCTATTGGTGCTAAAGATTACTCCAGTGTTAGTCATTGTTTACTTTTATTGCTAGTATTGGTATATTTGCTTCTTAATTTCATGTCAGAAAAACCAGTTGTTTGTACAGAATGGATTACTTGAAAAAAGAAAGGATGATATGAAGAGCCATGTCCGTTTCTTGTTTGTCTCAGATGACAAGATGCTCAAGAAACAACTTTACAATGGGGTTGTGCATTGCAATTGCAATTATGGTTGTTGCTGTGAGAGCATACGTGGCAAGGAAGTCAAGGCAGAGCCGTCCTGGTTCTGTAGCTGATCTTGTAAGGCGTGGCCAGCTAAGATCAGATAGAAGAGGCATGTATGATTTCGTTCTGTGATACCTTTTCCTTTTTTTCTTCTGGCTACCTCTGCAGAGGATGTTAATTTCATGAATATATTGCTTTAGGGTAGTTTGGTTGCTTAAGGGCCTTCGTGATATATAACGTTATGGGCTAACTATTTATTCTTAATGGCTGGCATTTCATTCATGTTCCTATCAATTTTAGTTTCTGCTTCTATAGATGATGAGTAGTTCTGTCGCATTTCGCAGCTTTGGCTACAATGTGCTTTCCTTGTGTTAATTGTGTAGTTTAATTATGGAATCTGTTTTTTGTAGATCAAGACCTCTCAAGTATGAGGACCCATTTAATAATCCATTGGTGAAGGTTGGTAAGAGCAATTCAACTGTAGAGATGTGTGGAAAGCTTTATCGCTTAGCTCCAGTTACACTTACTGAAGAGCAACAAGCTATCCATCAGAAAAGGAGGTCAAGAGCATACCAGTGGAAGAGACCCACAATATTCCTTAAAGAGGGGGATTCAATTCCTCCTGATGTTGACCCTGATACAATCAGATGGATTCCTGCAAATCATCCTTTTGCAACCACTGCTAGTGACATTGATGAAGACTTGGCACAAAATAATGTGTACCAAAAACATGGTGTTCCATTCCGTATTCAGGCTGAGCATGAGGCACTGCAGAGAAAGCTTGAAGCACTGCAAAATGTAAGTAGTTTTAAATTCTTGCAGTGGTAACGCAATACTACACCTATCAAGTTGTTTCCAGATAGGTAACTTATTGTATATTGATAATTTCTATAGCCATTGCATTTAGTGACATTTTTTGTGGCAAAATCAACATGGTAGATCCATGAGTAGTTGTGGTAGCTCCAGATAAGCTAAGTGACAAATGCACCATTAGTGGCTTATATCAACCAAGAAATTGCATTTTGTATGCACTTTTTTTGGCAACTGCAACGTGTATGATAGACTGTTGCACTAGCATGAAATTAAGAGTCTTCTTCATACTTTTCTGCTTATTTTAAATGAGTTTTTATCCCGCATAATGTTTGGGGATTCACATCTGCAGGTCATTGAACTGTATAACTTTTTATCTACTCAAATTGTTTTAATGGAGCCATATTTATTCAAAGTCATCCATATGTAGGGTTACTGATCATTCTTGGAAATGTGGTTACGAATGTGTAGTGTAGTTTGCTGCCTCATTTTCAGAATTACCTTTTGAAAACTTGAATGTGTTTGTATGCAGGAGGAAAAATTGAACAATTTATTTATTGACAGTAGAAATGCTAAAGATTTCCAGAGACCATTCAAGTTAAATGCCAGGTCAGATGAACTTGATGAGGAGGGCCCCATTAACAATCCCACAATTGACAATAAGCCCCCTAAACCAGAGCGTGCCTCCAGTTCGATTGAAAGCAACTTGTCTTCCGAGGAAATGCAGAAACCCTGAAATATTTGGTGGCCTACTATTATTCTGCAACGAATTTCTGATTTTGTAGTAGATGAAAGATAATATCCTTGTGAATTACCACTGGAATTGGAGGTAGCACAACCTGATGTACAATTGTAAGAGGGAGAGCTAAGTTGTACAAATAGTTGCAGTATTTGATTTGATCCATATTATTAAAATGCAGTTTGTTCCATGTTAAGATTTTGTAGCGGCAGAAGTATGCTTTTTTTTTGGCTGACAAACAAACATCGTTTGCATCAATCATTCAATCCAAATTCTGAAGCTAGGCTACTATCAATCTGGTCTCGTGCAGGACTACTAAAATTAAAGCCTGTCGAATTTGATTAATATCCTTGTATAAGATTTCAGGTTATAAGTAATAACCTTCCTTCAGGTTGACTGGAAGCGGGAATGCAACTGGTGAACTTCGATCTCTCTCCTCTCTTTCTCTTTCTCTCTCTCTCTCTCTGTCCAAGCTTTTCACTTCTCAGAACGACAGGATGAGAAGGCCAAAGTTGAAACAATGGATAACGAACCTTCATTTCCTTGTTCTTTTTTTTTTTTTTTTTTAAATTCAACAATGTTAGTTTTCTCTTTTGGCTTGTGGCTATTTGAAGAAAAACTGAATATTTGGTTCTGACATCATTGAAAAGAATTTTTACGAGGCATTACAATATCGAGTTATGAGACTACTTCCAAACAAAAAATTGACACCTGTACCGTACTTATTTCAGAGTAGCTCAGTCGATTCTTGTTGTTCATTAACCGATGTCATTCAACATCCACATCTACCATGCTGTTCATTAAATTGGTATTTTTACTACTCAATTCAAGGGGAAAAACAATTATATTTCAATGTTTGAATCAGAAGATCCCTCATCTCCAATGCAACAAGAATGCACAAAAGAAACTCCAAGCAGAAGTTGGATGAACGTTTAACGGCTGAAATTGACACCGTTTAATGCATTGAGTTACTCATTCTTGGTAGCAGCAGCCTGTGTTGCACCAACAGCAAAGAACTCGGTAATGACTTCAAGTGGCATGCCTTTGGTCTCCGGGACTTTCAAGAAGACAAAGACCCAAAAGATGAGACATACAACAGCATAAATTCCAAAGATGCCGGCAAGACCTATAGAACTGAGCATCACAGGCAGAGTGTAGGTAACAATGATATCTCCAATCCAGTAAACCAAAGCACAGATGGCAATACAAAGGCCACGGACCCTAGTTGGAAAGATCTCAGAGCAGAGGATATTTGGAATTGGTCCATACCCCATGACAAAGCAGCAGAAGTAGATAATTACACATGCAGTTGAGATGGCAGCATTAACTACTGTGCCCAAATCCACAATTTCGCTAAAAACTAGAATCATTAGTGACACTATAAGAACAGGAATTGTGGTGAGTAGCAGCCGCCTGCAAACAATAAAAGTATTAGGCTTTTCCCATCTTCTTAAGAAAAAAAAAAAATAGAAGTGTAAAGGGAAAAAACTAAGAGAAGGTGATTGAATTCTGGTAAAGAAAAGATATTCAAACTACGATTCATCAGGTCTATCTATTTATCATATTCAAGGAGATGGCAATAAACTTAGGCTCCATTTGGATGGGGGGTGAGAGCGACTACGGTGAGAGTAAAAACAGTAATAAAAATTACTGTAGCTGTAATTGAAAAATAAAAAATTACTGTAACTGCGATTGAAAAAAAAAATTTTTTTTATGAGAAATTTATGTTGAATGGATTTCACTGGAGTTAACATTTGGATTCAACTGATAGTACAGTGAATTCAATCGCACCATACCGGAGATGCAGTTGAATTCAAATGGGCACTTAGTCTAAACAGGTGACTCGGACAAGACAAAGATGTGTTTCCCAACAGCCAGAAAGGCAACAATAAGAGTGCAGCTTCAGGAACGCCTAGGAAGAAAATTTAGGAGACCCAGACTAAAGAACTACAAGTTGAAAAGAATATTTGAGAAAAGGAAATCACCTTCTGCCTGATATATCCATGAGCTTCATGGCTACACCTATACAGGGAAGCATCAGCAAGGTTGTGAATGCACTAATAAGAAATGATGCGGAATTTGAACTAAGGCCCAAGTTTGAAAGAAGCACTTCAACGCCTGCCTCTTCAAGAATTTGAGGAGTGTAATAGAGAACTCCATTTATGCCAGAGAACTGCACAAAATTAGAAAAAAAATTAGTTCAATTTACAATCATAGTATAATTAGCTCAATTGACAAAAAAAAAAGATTCAAACTTCTCTATTTAAAGTAGAAATTGACAAAATTAATGTGTAACAAGCTGCCATTTCCATTTTCATGTACCAAGAGAAAAAAGAACAATAAGAATGTAATAACTCCATTGCAAAACAAGATACCTCAAAACTAATTACTACTAGCAAAAGTATTGGTTCAGTTCTAATCTCAAGAATTAATGCTAATTCAACTGCAGCTTAAAGTGGCATGGCCCATATTTTCCTTCCAAAGCACATTCAAATCTGTAAACTTATGTAGAGAAAATGACAGGACGATAAAATGGAAGGGGCCAACAGAAGTTCAAAAATAAAACTGCTGACTACCTGCTGAAGTATCTGAATCCCAGCCCCAACTAATAATGCACGTTTCACTCCTGGGTCAAGAAGAGCAGTCCAAACTGGTCCTTTTGAAGCAGTTTCAGATGGATGCTGGTCCAACAGGACACTGATCCATAAGCTCCTTGGAATAAAGGGCAGGCTGGCTCACTAGAGCAGCAGCCTGGATAAATTCACCTTCTTCAGGCATATCATTACCAGGAAGTGATACAAGAGACCCATGTTGCGATCCAAAGACTCCCTCCTGGTGCAAATAAATCCTTTTAAACCCTCCTTCCTTCTTTCCATCCTCACTTTCTTGCTCAGAACATTTCCATGCCAATTGCCAACCACCTCCGATTCCTGTACTACCAACTGATTCTCCACTATCTTGCACAAGAGTGCTATGGTGTCTCATGCTTAGCAAACTGCCATGGGAAGCTGGGGGAACCACGTCTTTTTCCAAGCTAGTTGTCTGACGGGAGATCAATGGGCTATGCAGATTGTCATCAGAGAGAGTCCCCCCCTGCAGCATCTGACGCATGGTCTTCACCTTCCCTCTGCAAGCTCTCCTCATCCCAATGCTCATTTTTGACATGAGGCTCTGCTGTACTAAACATGCTTCCAAAATTCGGGAAAAGCATACTAAGCTTGCTCCCTGTCTCAGGAAGCTTTTCATGCACACTGCCAAATAATGTCACAAGAGGGTCCATAAGGGGTACACTTTGGTTCACCATGCTTCCCCGGCGAGAGGCAAGACCCAGAATGCTTTGTCCAGTGACAGGTTTGGCAATCCAAGAGAGACCCTCTTCAGGCCTATATAATCTGATTTTGTCTTTATCACCAGTAGGTTCCTGACCATCAGCAAGTTCATCAGCTGGACCTATAATGTACTCTTCTATAGAAGTTTCACCTCCAATGCCAAGGCCCTCAACCAGCAAAGCCATCTCACCTACAGAACAAAGAAGTCTCATGTCTTAAACTAGTTAAATAAGAGGAAACTGGAAGGAAACAGGAATCTATCATTTTAAATAAACATAAAAGCTATGAAGGCTCCTTTGTTATTAGGTATAAAGATGCTAATGGGGGGGAGAGGCAAGTGTACTGAAGGACTAAAAAGACAGGAATAGAGAAGATTTTCTTCTCTTCTTTGTCCCCAAAATCTACTCCACACAAGGTGCCTAGTGCCTACTTTCATCCAAAGGAAGCCAACCAAATTAGGAGAAAAGCACTCAATTCCTAACTTTGCTTACATATTGGATCATACTTATTTGGTTGACACTTCTATGGGTTTTACGTAATTTCTGCATAAACAATTAAATATGCTCATGCTCCTCTTCAATGTGCAATGACAACGTCTGAAATTATTTTTATTCTATAATTAGAACACAGGGCATACTTCAAATTTTAGAAAAAGCATGGCGTGACGGAGTGAGATAAGGTAACTTAGCATATCATACAGAAAATCTTCAGCTAGACGTTTAGACTCTATGCAAATATAGCTTAGGGTGGTTAGAGTAATGACTAATCTAAAATGATAAAAGCATCTGTGAGTTCAAAGGGGCTGGAGGGAAGAAGCATAATATAGATGTGAACAGCTGACTGTGACAAAGAAAGCAATACAAATTTTTGACTGCCAAATATCATTTTTAACTAAGCAAAATAATTTCTCAATGTCTTAGGCTCTAAACTCTTACAAAGTATAACTTTCCAATCTCTTGTATAGTCTACCAAAATATTAATCAGACCTACTCAAGTTTCTGATGACCTACATGCATCATATATTAATTTTTATGAAACAGAGATCAAGCACAAAAGGAAATTCCTATCTTAAAATCCATTACATTTTAACACTTATGCTCATTCACCATTAATGTTAGTATGTTACACCTCTCAGTGGGTTGTTGAATTGATTGAGGGCCTTTGTGCCTAAACACAAGTCCCCTACATTTTCAACATGTGCACGGAAAGGGAAGAAGAAGAAAAAAAAGAACAGAATTCCATAAGAAAAATAAAGGTAGCAAAACATGAACCTGAAACATCTTCCCTGCCACGTAATCTCTGAAGAACCTGTTTTGCCTCGAGCATCTTCCCTTTACTCACAAGCCACCGAGGAGATTCAGGCAAATAGAAAACTGTCAGGGCAAAATAGAGGAGAGAAGGGATTGATAGAACCCCAAGCATCAACCTCCAACTTGGTGAGTCCATCAATGACATCCCAAAAACCATACAATATGATAAAAACATCCCCCCAGAACCAGTGAATTGTGGTAATGTATTTAACAATCCCCTAATCTCTGATGGGGCAGTCTCAGATACATAAACTGGGACAAGAGTAACTGCTAAACCAATTCCAAATCCATCTAATAGCCTGGCTACGCATAAAATATAGACATTAGGTGACCAAAACATCACCAAACCACTAACAAAATAAAGCATTGAAGATATTATCAGCATTGGACGCCGACCAAGCCAATCTGATATAGCTCCAGAGCATGTTGTAATCGCTGTGGGTCCTATGGGTGACATAGTCACAACAAGACCTTCAACACTAGTTCCCAGATTGAGGTCGTTCTTGATGTAAACAATCGCTCCTGAAAGCACCCCACAAAAAAAAAAAAATGCTGAAGTTAATAGGCCTTGAGAACTCAACGCAAGGACATGATTTTGAGCAGCAAATAGGAACGACGATGGGAGTAAGAAACAAAACAAGGGAAGCAAAACATAAAAGTACTAGATGTTCTTTGTTGGCAGCCTTGAAAAAATTTAGTTGTCATTTCAATGAATCTCAACCAGAATTACCAGGAAGCAAAGAAATACCATGATGTGAACCAAGAAAAGAATATACATCCATGAATTCTTATTTTAAATCTGAAATCATGCTCAAACATTTACTGACTCATGCTGAGAAGAAATAAGGAAGTAGCAATATAACTGTGAAAGAAGTACCAGCAATCGTAGCATTATCCCATCCCTGCAGAAAGTTACCAATTGTAGCAGCAATGGCTACAAGAGCAGCACCCCTCATCTCTTTACCAATGAATCAAACAGCCCCTCTGGAACTAACCTGTAAGCAGAGAAGAACGCAGATCACAAATCAACAAATTCACCATCATTATCATTAACCCAAATCTAATAAGTTAATTGTCACTTGAAAAACACCGAGATGATTGCATCAATCAGCCTACCCTAGCACTCTACTCTGGCGTCAAAACATTAATCACATTAGCGCATCATCCCCAAATACTCGATAAAAAAAAAAAATTTACAGGGATTGGTAAAGAAACTAGGGCAGCTATCACCATCGATGACAACAAATTTAGTACTCCCAAGAATTTAGATTTTTCAGGTTGCTGACCTACTGCTAGCCAAAACGGTGAGATGAAACTTTTGAGACAAAGACAGTGAATTTAAAGTACATAAGAGGCAAAGGAAGCAAAAAGGGGTTGCTTTTTCCTTATAAGAGAAAGAGATAAGCAAGTATGAGGTTAGAGTACAGCTTTGTGCCTGATCTTGCCTTTCCTATAAAAGTGAATAAAAAACCCTCTGCAGTCTGCAAAGCGTATGATTATGATTTATGAAGAGGCTTGTTTGATGTGAATCTTTATATTAGAGACAAAGATAGTTTCAAGTACTGAGCGGGAAAAAAAAGCTTTTTTGTACTAAAATTATTGCTTTACGAGAAACCAGAGTGAGTGAGAGAGAGAGAGAGAGAGAGAGAGAGAGAGAGAGAGAGAGGCGCTTCGCAATTAGCATTTTCTGTCTCCAGCGTCAAGCCTCAACAACCCTTCAACATTTTGTCAAACAGGAACACCCGAACACTCGTTGAGTTCATTAGTCACAGAGCCTCAGCCTCCGTAGGGGTGAGACAATAAAATTCAGGTAATTTTGTGGTTGAGACCCAGAAAGCCAGACGGAGTGATTTAAGCTTCTAAGGAGAATTTACCAATACAGAAGCGTAAGCTAGTGCTTAGTAATGGTGTTTACATTAGGAACAAATGAAGGAGCAGCTTTAAAAGATTGGAAATAATAATATGAAAAATACATTTAGACCAGAAACTAAAGGAGAGAAAGAGATAGAGAGAGTCTGGAACCTACCACTGCCATATACTATAGTAGTATAATCTTTAAATAATTTAATCTACGGCGACGAAGAGACAAGATCATTACCGGTTTTATTGCTATTGCTAGATATTTTTATCCTTTCTGTTTTAAACTATTTACTTGTTTAGTGAATAGAGTTAATAATTGAAGAACCTGGGTGGTAACTGCTTAATTAAGCTCAGCAGTCATCGTTAGCTCAGCCTCCTTCAGCCGGCCTAGCCTCTCCCTACCGTTGGAAAACGACAAATTACAAATTCATTTCTTCATCTCTATAGATATTTTTGCTTTTTCCTCCAAATATAATACTACATACTAGACCGCTTAATAGACTAGTAGTTATTAAATAAAAATATCTTTTACAAACAAACAAACAAAAAATCCTAATTAAACATTTGCTTGATTATATTAGTGATGAATTCTCTAGTCTTAACATGTATAACTTAAGCAAATATTGTAGTGAAAGCAGCATTAAATCTGCAAGAAATTAGTTGGAATCCTTGACCTTGAAAAACAAATTAAAACACTTTGCTGTGGTCTTATCCATCTATTATCAGGCAGCATTTATAGGCAATGGGTCAAAACTTGAACAAGCACGGTTAAGAGTTAGGAGTGTTTGAATATAAATAATAAAATAGTATTTAGTTATACTAGTAGGGGTAGATAGCTAAATAAAAGGCCATGCCACGTGGGGCCTCTGAAGAGAGTTGCAGCAGAATTATCTACCAGAGGTACTGCATTTGCAATTGCATGTTTGTTGGGCAATTTATGGGGCCCACTTTGTCCTTGGTTCGTCATTTGTGACTGTGATCCATCCGCTCGTGTGCCATCTCATCCCTTCTCACCTCCGCCCATTTACATTTCACCCCAAGGTATAATAAGCTCATGAGTATCCACCTTTCTCTAATTAATTGAACAAATACTTAGTTTCATTATGAATAACCACACATAATTAACGTATAGCACACGTATTAATGTTATATATATATATGTATGTTGATATATATATAATTATATTTGTATATGATTTATCCCAAAATTAAAACCAAAAAATCATGTTCATGGGCATACAAAGTTATTTGTTTCAGGACGAATACAAAATTAATATGTTTGGGGCGAAGAAAATGACGGCCCAAATCAACGTCGACCCATTTGGAATTCGAAGATTGGATGAAGGCCGTAAGTTAGGTTGAGCTAGAAAGCCCAATAAGCCCTGCCTGACCACCTCTGGATTTGTTTATTTATATTACATTAGGCATATCAGTAGAGGTAGTAGTAAGAAATCCAGCAGCGGACAAAAAAAAAAAAAAAAAAAAAACGCAAAAATGGCGTTGATGAAGGGAGAGCCTTTGGTGGCAAAGCTGGCAGCTTTAGCCAAGTACGTGGTGCTGCCGGGCTTCATGGTTGCTGCTCTTATTTACTCTCCTCCCAACTACGCTTCTTCCAAGAAGGACAAATCCCCCAATTAAAATTCTCTTTCCCTTTTTCTACTGGTTCGTAATTTTACCCCTTTTTTTCTTTATTTCTGCTTTGGTTTAGGGTTTTGTATGACTACTTGCGTTTCAGCTACTATTAATTTTAATTATTGTCTGAAATGTATCTGATTGGATGTGATGGGAATTATTATTCTGCTTACTGCTGCAATTCAGTTTGCATATATGACCTTTTCTTGATCCTTTTACAGCCCTTTTACATAAGACAGGGAAAGCAAAAGTCCTGTGTTGTTGATTACCTCGTAATCTAATATCTGAAATATAAAGCTAGTTTTTTTTTTTTTTTGGTAGTTAATAGTGTTATACAACTGAATTGAGAGAATTGATTTTCCCTTTTCTCTTTACTCGTGGTTGACTATTGTGTGGTATGTAAGCGTGTCCATCCGTGAGGCTTTAACCCATTTCCTTTGGCAGTTACATAGTCGCGCACTTCTGCTCCAGCTTCTATAGCAATAGCTTATCTCGTTCAAACACTCTGATATGCTCTATACTATAACACTTGTATGCCAGAGAATAAATTATTACTTGTTCTATTTATTTTCTGCAAATCCGCAACTGGGGTTTTTCAATAACTTCTAGTAAATCTAGTTGGTTTCCGCATGCAGCAATTCCCTTGGTTCCCACCACCGTTAATTGGGTAGGCTGTTTTTATGGGTCTATGAAGTAGATTTCATTATAAATTTGACAATGCATTTTAGAAATGGTTCAGTGCATTCATTTCTCTGATTGTTGTTGCTTTTAGCCGAATGTGCTTTCTCCTAACAAGTGTTGGTAATAAACCTGTATTATTTGCATAAGGCTATTTCACTGAATTTTGGAAATTCTTCTAAGGATAATTGTTTTAGTTACAGACTTAATGAATTGATACAGCTTAAAGTTCTTTTGGGAGGAAAATTTGAAGGATGAAAATTTGCTTATTTGAAACTGTTTAGAGTGCTACGTGTTTCTGAGTGCTAAGTAAAGCATGCTGCTAAAGGAATACACTCTTGGATGTTCACTGACTATTACTCACTTTCTTGATGCAGGAGTATCTTTATTATGGCTAAGGTTTTTCATGCTATGTGCCTCTTTCCTATAATGGGGATCTCCAAGATTTCAGCATAATGTTTCTAGGTATATAGAGAGTTGACTGCAGTTTGTTTGCCTTTGAAGAACTTTTGAGTTTTGAATCTCTTGTTTTTCTGAGACTTTATTAAAAAATATGACATTATGTAATAAATACAAGATTGCCCCGTGAATTACATTATTGAATAATTTGGATTGTAATGTTGTTAAATGATCATCAATGCTCTCTATGTTATCTAATCAAGCTTGCCTTAGATTGTTGAATCCACTTGAACATCGAAATGTTATAATATGGTCGGATGCCGCAGAAATTTTGTGGATTAATTATGTCACAATGTTGCTTTTTATTTGCGCGAAGAGCGAAAAGGAATTTAATAAATGTCGTTTCTAATTTTACTAGTAGTGCATCAATTTGATCTGAACTAATTTATAGCAGTCACACGATTTTGATTTTAGTTAAGACCAATCCTGAATAAGTCTTAATAGATAATGTGTTGTCTTCATGTCGATGTTGTTCAACCAAGATAGACCTATATTGTAATGTAAAACTCTTTACTTTCGGTCTCTCGTCATGTTGTTGATATATCTTGCCGTTTTTTAGATACCAGGGTATTGAATAGCGATAGTAGCAATAAGCTTGAAATAGATGAGCATCCAGCTTGGACTTATGCCTGCAGTAGTTTTTAAGTTTCAAAGGAGTTTGATGTTTAACATTGAGTTTCCCAAACATCTATGGATGGTCCTCTTAAGTTTTATTATAGTGCCATCTAAAGTTCATTTTGAATTGAAGGCCGCCATCTATTTAAAACATGATAGAATAGTGTAGAAAACATGTAATAGGAAAGCAACATCAATAGTCTCAGCACCTTTGAGCTATAGATTTTGTTATAGCATTCAAACCAAAATTCCTTGATTGATAATCCTCTTTTCTTTAAGAAGGGATGTTGGTTTAAGCCGTGAAATAAAAAGCTTTTGGGGGGAATTGCTTAGTTGGCCGTTTGGCCTTGCTTCTAGAACTTCACTCCAAGAAGTTTAAATAGAATACAAACATGTTTTAGTTAAAAATAGATTTCTTTTTTTTTTTTTTTTTTTGAGAGGGGGGAGGGTGTGAAAGAGATGAAAAGCTATAATAATGATGTTTTCTTTACTTTATTCGTTTATATTTTGCTGATGATAAATATTTTAATTGCCTTTAATAAATACACTATCATAATTGAATTTCTGTCCTCGTATATTCGGATTTTTAAGCTACTCAATGCAAAATAATCTTCTTCCATTTGTTATAATAAGATTCTGTCAAATTTAAAGTTTGAGATTGATTATCTTTTGCTAATTTTAAAGTAGCACGGCGAGATTGATCTCTAAACAAAAGAATTTGAAAATTGTTCATTCATGGAGCATGTAACAGTATTTACCAGAATTAGCAGTAAGCAAAAATAATACTCTAGATTAGTAATGCATCCATGCTTTAGTATGTGAAAAAGTTCTTATAAAAAAAAAAAAAAATTCCCATTACCTATTATACGTAATATCATCATTTTTTTTGTAACGAAAAATGCAAAAGATTCTGGACATGGATCTTACTTCGGATTATTAATTATATATATAATCACTAGTTTGATGGTTTATATGGAATATAACACGATTTAAGATATACAAATAGTACCATGCAGACCCAAAGAGTGGAATAGGCAATTAACACAAGCTAGGGATTTCATTTTGGTGAATGATCGAAGCGATTCTAGGGATTTTCTCAATACAAAATCGGACCCATTGTATTCCTTTTAATTTCTTTGATCTATTATATACAAGAAAATATGAACTCTAAAAAGCACACATTGAAGAAGGAAGGAATTAAGCTTTAATTCAATCTGTAGCTAGCTAGCTTCATTGTTAAGAGACGACGAATGCGTCAAGGCAACCCTGGCAATGTCGTTCACCACTCTATTCATCGTCATTCTCATTGTCCTCAAGGGACCTTCCCATGGTTTCCCGTGTAAAGAAGTAAGTCACCGCCAGTCCAACAAGACATACCACACCCAAGAACACTAATGCCACAGTCATTCTAACAGGGTCCGGCTTGCCATTATTGTTTGGAATCCTCGAAGCCCACAAAAAACCAACCGTCCCAATGATTGCTCCAACCTTCCCCACGGCCCCAGAAATGCCATGACACGTTGATCTAAATCTTGCCGGAAATAATTCAGCAGGGACTATAAAAGTGGTGGTGTTTGGTCCGAAATTGCAGAAGAAGAAAGTGAGAGCATAGAGGGTGATAAATCCAATACCTATTTTTTCACTCCAGAAGTATTTGTAGGGTATCCCAATTGCGAAATAAACCATTGCCATGAAGAAAAAGCCTATCATTTGGATTTTGACTCTTCCAATGCGATCAATGAAATAGACAGTAACCCAATAACCTGGAATTGTAGAGCAGATAGCAAGAATTGCTTGGAAACGAGCAACTCTAAAAGCGAGCTCATAAGCGTTCACATCAGGTTGGTCTTTTATAAAGCGATGATAAGTCTGAGATTGGAAGAGGTTGCTACTGTAAAAGACAACATCGACAAGAAACCATGATGCGGCACAAGAGAAGAGATCATAGCCGTGGCGACGGAAGAAGCGTTTTGAGAGAAGAGGATAGGATGGAGGCGGATAGGATGGCAAAAGGGAGTCTTCTGCAATTTGACTCATTGGAATATCTAACACTTTCTCCATGTCCATGGCTGCTTGTAGGACATTTTGTTCCACGAGAGCTGTGTATCTAGAAATTAAAATCAGGACAAAGGAAATAAAAAGATGATGAATTTCAAATTTGATGACAACCCTTTTTTGCGATTAGTTATCAAAATCATGCAAGAACAGTAGTGTATCAATTGTAGCGCTTCTAAAAATTCAAACTTACCGACGCTAGCTGATCATTCCAATCGGGTGAAAACATGCATTTACTGATTTTCTTCCTTGATAATTTGATTAATAGTAATATAGAAACTACTTCAATGATGATGATGATGATGATGATGATATTGATGATGATGATGATGTAATAACCTAGGCATATATATATATATATATATATATAGAGAGAGAGAGAGAGAGAGAGAGAGAGAGAGAGAGCAAGAGAGAGAGAGAGAGTGAAAAGCAAAGTCATGTGCTTATATATCGGATGTACCGATGTTGTGCTTGTTAATTGGTCCAACATTCATGCTCAAACAATTAAGTTAGCTGTCCTCACCCAACCCTTCCATTAATAAGTTGATGAGAACTATATATGGGCTGTCTTAGTTAAATATTTTGACATTATTTTGCTTTAGTTGATATCTTATTAGCTGTTTGTGTGTGTTGGTACATGAATCATGAAAATCCTATTTCCTGACTAGTAGCTAGTAGTTGCATCCTAATATTTGATTTACGTCTCGCCTACAGGCTGCTAAAATTAATAAATGATATTATATTGGCGATATGATTAATTAAAAAGACTTGTAAACGATTGGCTGATGAAGTCAATGGTAGGATTTCGCAGTAGCCCTCCCCCCATCACTCATCAATATTTCTTTTGATCCCAAAATTCAATTCTAAACTCATACAATGAATCTCAATCTATTTATGTAGAATCATTTATAAACCACCCATCGGTAAAAAGGAGAAGAAGACTTCAAATTAGTGAGGCCGTAATAAATAAATAAATAAAAACATTAATTATAAAGCTTAGAGTAAAAATAAAAAATAAAAGTTACATATACCTGGCCGTCTCGGGCATCATCATACGCCAGTAATATGTCATCGCAGCGGGAATTGCACCCACCATCAGTATCAGCCTCCACGCAATATCAACCTGCTCCGGGATTTGACCATTCGACACATGCGATGTAGCCTCAAATATCTTACAAACCACCATCGTCACTACGGAGCTGACCAAAATCCCGAAGCCCTGCATCGAAAACACAGCCGCTATAAAGGCTCCACGCGTCTTCTTATTAGCAAACTCCGACATGATGGTTGCCGACAACGGGTAGTCCCCCCCGATTCCTACTCCCAGCAAGAACCTGAAAAACCCTAAACTCACCAAGACGCAATTTCTGGTCCTGCATATTGAAAAACCGCAAGCTATGGAGCTAAGCACCATGATGCCCAATGACAGCCCGTACACGCTGCGCCTTCCTATCCGATCGCCTAGCCTCCCAAACACCAGTTGTCCAACTACGGTCCCTAGAAGAGCTATAGCCACCAGGGCAGAGACGACAACGGTTGGGGTGGTCCTGTATTGTTTCTCCTCTACGTAGTATATTCGTCCTATGAGCTTGATGATAGGAGGGATGCAGAAGAGATCATAGGCATCGGTGAAGAGTCCCATGCCTGCGATGATGATTGCTTTGAAGTGGTACAACTGGATTCTTGCTACATCGAGGGCAGAAAGGACTTTCAACGACATCCCTGTTTATTGTGAATTAAAAGCTACTAAAGGAGAGAATTAAGAATCTAAGTTTGCTAGATGATGGAGCAATTAGGGCCAGAAACATATATATAACAACTCACGAGAGTCAAGACCGAAAAGAGTAATTTGCTTGGTAGTTTCGTGGAGAAAATAGTAGAAAGGATGAGTAGATGTGATCCACGCAGGGTTGACTGAGCCTTAGGAATTGAGGTCATGATTCTTCACAAGATGCGAATCAACAGGCTTAGACCTTGTCACCTAATTGCTTGATGCATCTTTGCACTTCCTCGGTTTTATATATATATATAGATATGCGCACTTGTTGTATGCTTGTTCCAAGGTGTTTTTTTTTTTAATTTCCTTGTTTCAAACTACGCTGACAGGCTAATCAACCAAACCTAGAATACTTAATTAAATGAGAAATATAGGTCTTTGCGTTATGACTACAATCCACTTGTTGGTTGCTCTATATTTTTGTAGACATAATTAAAAGTGATAATTGAACAAATACATAAAATTGAATTAATTTAACTTAAATTGAAAATGTATGATATAACAAATATCCTACAACTCGATATGAATTGATTGAGGTAATATAAATTCTTATATAATACTGCTTTTAAGATTCAATGCTGACCTCAAATATGGTCGGGGAGTTTGTTTTTAATTTTAGACAAAAGTATATCTCTGAGTTTGATTGGGTAAAGATAAGAGGGCCTGTTTCTAAAATTAATTTCCCCTTCCAGCGGAGGCTAAGGCTAGCGAACTTTGATTTCTACCCGTTGATTTATATTCTTGTTGTCTTTGTTCGTAGAGTTTTTTTTTTAATGAAAATTACAATTATATTCAAATATTATATATATAAATTAAAAAAATTATATCAAATAAATAAATCACTCAACAAATTATAATTAAATAAATTTAATATAAAATTTAATTCAATTCACACGTAACAAAACTTGAATGCAGATAACAAGGGACAAAGTAACCTAGTACAAGTGGAGTCCATAGGACCCGATTTCTTTGTCGTTAGCGTGGGCCCCCTTACAATTATTTCTTCGGCCCCTTGTAACGAATATTAATGAATCGCCCTGTTAGTTTCTTCAGGATTTGACTAGGGAATACCAACCTCGAACAAATTCCGCGAAACCCCTAAGAAACTTCCAATGTTTTTCGTTGGTCCAACGATGGTGGTGATAACAAATGTCAGCAAATTGTGTCGGAGAACCCCGATGATTAAGTCCCTCCCCCTGCAGGCCAAGCATTATTATAATATAATAATAGTATATTTGCTCAACTCTTATATGGCATATGCTCGATAATCCTTGTAGCAATCCTGTCCCGTGCCTTTGTTAATGTTAAGGACATATAATGGTAAAAAAAAATATAATAATTTTTTAGTTTTTAGTAGATAATTAAGAGTATTTTGATATTTATAAATGATCAAAATACTCTTAATTATTTACTAAAAATTTAAAGAGAAAAAAAGATTACTATATGTCAGATTGGTCTAACATTTTCATTATTATCTTAGTTTGGTTTTGTCTTAATTGTTTCCTTTTTGTCTCATTCAATTTACTTATAAATATAGAGATTTAGACATCATGAAATTAGTTTCATCTAACTCATACTTTTCTCTTTTTTTTTTTTTTACTTTTTCACTTCTTTTTTTATTTAATTTTTACTGACTTGCATATCCGAGTGTAAACACAGGGAATATCCCATGCTTTTGTCTCTAATCATTTCTATCATCTACCTTTATAGGAATATCTTCAGGTTGGAGCTTGGTACCAACATTTGGTGCATTGGGTAAGGGACTAGCATTTTCATAATAACTGAGCACAAAATAATGCCACCTAGAAAAAAAAAAAAAAACCCAAGAGGAAGGAGAGACATCCACTTCGGCTAGAACAAAAACTCACCAAAGCCAACATTCTGTCCGTCAAGGTCAATCACAGGCAGGGCCAACCATGGAGCAATTTTAAGCTTTGACTGAGCAAATACAAGCCCTCAAACAAATGCTCCAAATTATAACCCCACTACAAGTCTCCAAAGTGCTAGACTTAGTCACACCGGGCTAAAAAGCTATTGTCAGGTAGTCGAGCTACGAAGAAGCAGAAGCCTCTTCGACCTCTAGAGAAGAAAAGCATACCAATCCAACCCTTTATCGTCTCAGCTACAATTTTACACATGCCACAACCCAAAAGTCCAAACAAACAGACTATGAGCTTCAATTGAATAGAGATTTAAAAGCTTGGATGTAGGCCATAAAGAAAGAATTGAAAACGAAACCAGCAATATTTGAGGATGAGCTTAAGTTCTTAGAGATCTCACCCTTTACAAAAAAGATTGACAGAGCCATGCCTCTCAAGGGATTTAAAATGCTAACCTTAGAGACATATGGCGATACTTTTGAGGGCAAACGGGGCTCTAATGTGCAAGAGTCTGGCCATTACTTTGAAAGGCATAGCTCAATCCTGGTATAATAGTCTCGAACCGAAATCGATCACTACTTTCAAGGAGCTCAGCCACTTATTCCTATCTCGATTCGCTAGTAATGGAAGAGCTAAGAAAATAACCTTAAGCCTAATGTCAATTCATTAAAAGTGGAATGAAACTTTTAAAAGTTATGTCATGCATTTTAATGCGAAAGCTCTATAGGTCAAAGACCTAGAATAGACAGCTACTATTGTTATATTGACCAGTGGACTCAATGATAAAGAGTACCACTTAAAGTTGACATTGTTGTTAGAACCACCAAAAACTTTGGCTGACATCTTGCTAATAGTAGAAAAATATATCAACATTGAAGCTATAATGAAAACAAACAAAGATGAGAGAGGCTCATCCCTCCTCATTGGCAGCGTAGGTGAGAGAGGCTTATCTCTCCACCTTGATTGTAAAAAAGGTAAAGAATTCTACGATCCTCCCAAAGAGAGAGACAACATAGAGCTAAAAACCCTAGTAAAAAAAAAAGCTACACTGCATTAAATACTTTTTGAGAGAGGATTTTGATGCAAATAAAAAAAAATTCCAACCTCAGATGGCCTAAGCCATTGGGACAGAATACAAGGCGAGATTTGACTAAAAGATGCATATTTCATCAGGACATTGGCCATAATACAAAAGATTGTGTCAACCTGAAAAATGAGATTAAAGCTCTAATTAGGTGAGGTTAACTGAAAAAGGTTTGTCGGACAGAAAAGACAAGATCAATTTAGAAAAAAACTTCAGAAATGACCACAAAGCGTCCACCCGAGATAGAGAGGGAAGATTAGATCAAGAAAGAAGGGATGTCTAAGAGGAAAAGCTAAATAAAAAACAAAGGCTGAGCTAAAAATAGCAAGCCAATTATTAGAATGATTATTGTGATCATAGAAGATAGCTCTACCTCGATAAAAAAGAAGTTCAACCCAAGCCTGATAATGGTAATAGACACCTCAACTATGAAAGAAAAAATTGGAGAGACCAGTTGATTTTGTTCAGCTTGAAAGAGTTGAAAATGATCTAACACCCACATGATGATGTCATATTGATCACAGCTTTGGTATACAACTGTATGATCAAAAGAATCTTATTTGACAATGGGAGTTTGACTGACATTATGTATTATGGCTATTTCAAGAAAATAAGGATAAGCAAAGATCAGTTAAAGCTGATCACCAAAACACTAAGTGGGTTTGAAAATGAGTAGATGCTAGTAAGAGAAACTATCAAGCTCTTAATCTTTTTGGGAATAAAATTGAAGATGATTACCTCAATTGTAGAGTTCATGATAGTGGATATCCCATTTGCTTACAAAATGATATTAGGACGACCTAGCCAGTCTGTTATGCAGCTTGTAAGCTTAGCTCTCCACTTGAAAGTAAAATTTCTAATACCTACAGGGGTTAGAGAAGTTTGGGGAGACCAATCCATAGCACGACAATATTATGTTACAATGATAAATAGTAAGATTGAGAAGTAGACATGTAGCTCGATCGATACCAAAGTGGAAAACAAAAAGAAATCGATGCAAAAAATTGGCAAAAGGTAGGAAACTGTCGATCTGAGCATAAAACTAAGGTCGACCTGACAAAAGCACGCTTTTAAACAGCTTTGGGCTCTTAAGTTTCACAAAAGTTCAATTTTGTTCTATTTTTAAAATTTTAAGTGATTGAGCTCTTAAGCTGGCATAAAAAATTAATGTTACTTGGATCGAGCTAACACGTCGATCAAAGCACAATATTAAATGAAAAATACACTTCACTTATATTAATAGGTTCAATAAGTTGTTCAATATATTAATCATTACATCGGGACCTATTTTTGTAAAAAATGATTTTGATCTAATAGAATAAAAAGAGATAATTGATAAAAAATTAAACTCGAATAAAAATTGATCAGAGCTGACTGAGGACTTTATAACAATTCTATTTTGGAACAATACCCCTAAAAAATGCATACAGCTCAAAGCCAAGCTTTAGCATAAAGACTAATTGATCCAACTTATAAAAGATAATGTCAACCTATTTACCCAAATATTATTTGATATGCCTGAAATTGATACTGAGGTAATGGTCCACATATTACATACTAATCCCAAGGTCAAACTAGTTCAGCAAAAGAAAAGAATTTTTACTCTTGAAAGACAACAGGCCATTAAGGAAGAGGTTGACAAATTATTATGAGCTGGCTTCATCAGGGATGTCTACTACCCTAAGTAGATAGTCAATGTAATTATGGTAAAAAAGCACAGTGAAAAATAAAAGATGTGCATGGATTTTACTGACCTGAATAAAGCTTGTCTAAAAGATAACTTCCCCTCTTTAGCATAGATTAGCTAGTGATGATATCACTAAGTATGACCTTTTTAGTTTCATAGATGCTTACTCTAGTTATAATCAGATCAAGATGTTAAAAAAAAATTAGGATAAAATAACTTTTATTACCAAGAAAAGCATGTATTACTATAAAATCATGCCCTTCAGATTGAAAACTACAAGGATGACTTACTAAAAAATGGTGAATAAAGTATTCAAAGATCAGATCGACCGTAACATGAAGGTATATATAGATGAAATGATAGTCAAGAGTAAAAGTTTGACCGAGCATTTGAAAAATCTCAGAGAAACCTTCAACACTTTTAGAAAGTATAATATGAGACTCAACTTGAGTAAATATACTTTTAAGGTTACATCAAGCAAGTTTTTTAGCTACATAATCAACCAAAAAAGGATAAAAGTGAATCTCGATAAGGTTTAGATGATCTTAAAAAATGAAAGCGATGACTTCTGTAAAATAGGTATGGA